CTAATTTATTACGTAAAACATTTCATTAATAAACATTTTTGCAGGTCCCTCAGAAATCAGCCCCGGGCAGCGACTGACTGCCGGCCGGCCGACCGGCCCCGGGTGGCTAGAAGCAGGGGCCGGTCACTGTTTGGCCCGGATGTGTAGGAGCGGGAGCAGCACTCCTTTTTCACGTATATTCGCATATTTTTTTAGGCACATCGACATGAAATGTCATTATATCTGATACGATGCGGGATCACAGAATAGAGATCCAGCTTATAACTTATATTGAATGCTTAACCAATGAATCAAATCAACAGGACTATGTACGATGCATGTCGGACACGTACCCAGAATTTCGCCCAAGAGGGGGTCACCTGCTGGTCACCTGACCCCGGGCCCGCGAGTCACCCGGGCGCCCGGGGTCAGCTCAGGCAAGGATGTACCCAGGACCTTTCGATGGGAGGAGGGAGGCACGGTGGGTCCAGTCTCACTGGCAGACGGGTCTCTTTAAAACGGTCTTTGCATGAAAAAATGTGGAAAATTGGCAAGCAAAAGTATCATTTATGCCCGAGGAGTGGCCTAATGTACACTAATGCCTAATTTACATGGTATTTTACGAGCGAGCGAAGCGAGCGAGCTCCTCAGAGTCACCGGTGTGTGGCGCGTTCAGAGGTGCCAGTGAAAGGCCGTCAGATGCGCTGGTGTTGGGTCCTCACAGGCGCCGTTGCGGGGTCTTAGGGCTTAGAGACACTGGTGGGGCCATCATTGGCATGTGTGTGGCCCTGCAAAATGGCCTGCAAGTGGAAAGTGGCCCGTCATAGGCTGGCAAGGACACTCGGAGGCTGGTAAGAGGCCCTCAGAGTCACTAGTACGTGGCCCTCAGAGGCGTCGGTGTGGGGACTCTCAGAGCCGCCGATGTAGGCCCTTAAGATGCGCTGGTGGGGGTCCCTTGGAGGTGGGGCGAGGAGCCTCGCAGTTGCCGTTGTGGGCGCCTTTAGAAACACTGGTGTGGACCGTGTGTCTATCACAGACGGATGTGGAGCCATAGCAGCCAATCCCTCTGTTCCCAAATAAGTTCCAAAATTATGCCTCACTTCCAAAGTTATCTATTCATTTTCGAAAATCCATACACTTTTCACACTTCACAGCATTCCTTCACAGCATTCCTTCAGTCTAGTTTCTTCATGAACCCGTATTCGGAAAAATAAAAGCTCGAGAACTAAGCACGAATAAAACGGTCTGATATACCTCTGATTTGCTTTCACTCTTAACCCGGCAGTTGCTGGGGTATTTCGCCACCCACCGTTTGCTGGGGGGGGGGGGGGGGCGTTAAACGCCCCCAGCCGATAACTCGAGAACCAATAGGCGCAGCGAAACGCACGAGGCGGCAAACGAAAGAGCGCGACGAGACGCTTCAGATGAGTACTTTAAAGTTGAATTTTGAGGTCACAGGTCGGGTCAAGGTCAGGTCAAACACCTGAAATCGGGCTTTCAGTAGCATGGACTTCAGGACTTCGCAATGGGCGCCTCTCGCCATAAACTCTGTCAAAACGGTGCACAATCCATCTTATAAGGCCTACAAGAGTGTCAGCTTCATATAGGGATCAGTCAAGCATAGGTCAGGGTCAAGGTCAGGTCAACCGGGTAGGCACATATCCCCGAAAATCAAAACTGATATTCGCAGCATGTGACACATGTTTTATAGGTAATTTGGGGCGTAGAACACGATGGTGACATTCATTTTATCATATGTGTACGTGTTTGGCTCAAAAAGTTCAATTTAAGAAATTCATGTATCATGGTCGTGAAGAAGTCACGAAAAATTGCCAAGATTCAGTTCAAGATTTTGGAAAATGCGGAACGATAATCAATAATCGAAGATAGCCATTTGATTGATCATGGTATTGGCAGTCTAATGGCGTTTACGGCATGTCTGTATGTCTATTCTGTGATTTTATATGATTTTTTGAACATATGCCGTTTTTGGTCGAAAAGTCAGAAATCATGACGTCACTAAAACCTCGATATCTCAAAAATTTTCCGACCGATTTTTTTGAAACTTTATCACAATAAACTTCAATCAATTCCCTACAGGTACCCAAAATTTGGCGCGCCTGCGGCGCGCCGTTTTTATGCTATGGCCCGGCGAAAAAAGTGGGGGCGTTTAACGCCCCCCCCCCCCCAGCAACTCGCGGGTTAACAGCTTAAGAACGGCGGCCACGTACACATTACACAACATTCTCCCCCGGGGTGGAGCTCAGCCCACCCTTCTTGGTCATCTTCGAGTCGGTCACAGGCGGCCGACTTCCTCCACTGTAGCCTGGAATCTGACCGCAGCCCAGTCCGGGGGAGCGAGGCCCAGCAGCTGACGCGTCGCCGTCGCTACCAGCGCCGGATAACGACGGCCCTGTGGAACCGCTGGCAGCGGGAATATCTGAGGCAGCTGAGAGACCAGCTCCCGCCCGAAGTCGAGCTGGCGCCGGCACCCCTCAGCGGACGCTGGTCGTCTGCATCATCGCTCACTGCTGTGAGCGGTCGCTCGTTGATGGCCGCCTCCACGGAGCAGAGCGCCGTCTCTAGCTCCTCCCAGGAGAGCAGCGCCGCTCCCAGCGTGCGACGCAGGGCGCGTTTCGTGAGTCTCACCATCGACTCCCAGAAGCCGCCCCACCAAGGCGCTCGCTCCACGATGAAACTCCAGGAGACTCCCTCGGTGGCAAGAACAGCGGCGGCCGCCTTAACCCGCGCCCTGCTGGGGGTCCTGGATTTCCACGCCCTGCTGGGGGGGGGGGTGTTTGAACACCCCCCCCTTCTAACTCGGCTCCTGGGCCACGTAGCGATACGCGGAAGGCGGCGTTCGAAAGGGCGTCAAAAATAATGAGGAAATCACTTCGGTCAATTTTTTGGTCAGGTCAAAGGTCAGTTCACCAGAGGTCATTGAAGGCAAAATTTCGCCGATTTCCAGGTCGAATGTCGAAAATTTCCAAGAAGCCAACGCATAACTCGGGAACCAATAGAGCTACAGCGCCGCGGAAAAGCGCATTCGATAGCCCTATTAACGCCCTTTCTGAGTAATTTTCTCAGATTTGACCTAACGTCAACGGTTTTGCCTGCAGGGGGCAAAAACTGCCAAAATAACCGATTTTTTTCGGAAACAGTTTTTCTGCAATAACTTTTGACCCAAGCCTTGTACGAGCTTACTTTTACCGGCATCGTGTTCCTCTCGTCAAGACGCATCGAATGAACTATAACTTGACCTTGAAAGGTCAACTTGAAAATTTGACCTCAGGTCAAGGTCATGACCTGACCGGGAAGGGTCATGTTGCATATCAGTCGATCCGTATCGTCGAGCTGAACACATCTATGGCGTTTTCATCGCTCTAGCATGCCTCTATCAAAAGTTATTTGCGAAAAACTGTTAGATACCATTCGTGACCTAAGATGACCTCAGGGCATAAACAGGGGTCACGGACACCATTTTCATGGTCAGTGTGTCTGAACCACTTGTAATTCAGTGTTTGGGAGTGTTTATAATGTCTTTCGTCCAAAAGAGGCGCATTTCAATTTTCTCCCATTGACTTATAATGGGGAGGTCGCAAAATTGACCTGACCTTAGGTCATCGATATCAAAATTCTGAGATATACATTTTGTACATGCTATTGCTCTTAGCAAACCCTGAAAGTTTCAAAGCGATCGGTCACTCGGTGTAGCTATGACAGACATTGAAACTTTTTATGAGGTGAGGTCACTTCAAGTGACCTGGTGACCTGACCTTGAATGACCTTGGTCTGAAATTTTCACAACATGTGTAGAATTGATGTATGATAAGGTGTACCAAAAACGGCGGCGCGGAGCGCCGCCGTTTTTGAGATATTCGCGAAAAACCACAAGGGGGGGGTGTTCAAACACCCCCCCCCCCCAGCAGGGCGCGGGTTAAAGTAGGTGGCGTTGTCGCTCAGAATACTGGTCGGGCTAAGCCTACGAGCAGCAAAACGACGGTAGGCGCGGATGAAATCTTCAGTTCGTAGCGACCCGACCAGCTCTAGATGCAGCGCGCGCGTGACGGCACATGTGAAAACCGCCACGTACGCCTTATGAGGCTCCGATCCAAACGGTCGCTTGACGTACAGCGGCCCGGCAAAGTCGACGCCAGTGCGACTGAAGGGCCGAGCCGCTGTCACTCGACTGCGGGGCAGGGGAGCCGGTCTCATGGCGAACGGCTGAACGCGGAACAGATGGCACTTGCGGCAACGGCTCAGAGAGGCTCGTACGATCTGGCGCCCGCGGACGATCCAATAGCGATCTCTGATGCTATTGATGCCAGCTCAGGGACCTTTGACACCCTTTAAGGCCTTCTGACGTCCGTTTGACGTTAGCTGAGGGCCCTTTGAGGCTATCTGAGGGCCCTTTAAGGCCATCTGAGAGTCCTTTGAGGTCATCTGAGGGCTCCTTAAGGCCATCTGAGGGCCCTTTGACACCATCTAAGGGCCCTTTGACACCAGATGAGGGCCCTATGACGCTAACTGAGGGCCCTTCGAGGCCATCTGAGGGCCTTTTGAGACCATCTGAAGGCCATTTGAGGGCCCGTTGTACACGGTCTTCGGTGGTCTAAGGATTAGTTAGAGGCCCATTTGAGGCGGCCTTCGGCCGCCTCAAATGGGCCCCTTCCTTCGAGTTGGGCCCCCCAACTCGAATGGGGGGGGGGCACGGGCCCGTGTGCCCCCCCTTGTGTGCGCCCTTGACCGTAGTCCGCCATGGTTGTCTTGGTTGGATTGTCTGATGTTTCCCTGAACTGAGATCAATGTAATAGCGTTTAGTATCGATGTTGGAGTGTGTGGTTTGTGACATGTGCATCACCGTCAGTTGTTGAAGCATTTTCTCTGTTTTGTATGAAAGCTCTTCTTCCTCTCAGTCAGTAACGGAAGTCTTCAAGTGCATTTCCACGAAAATGTCTCTCCCCTCCCATAAAAAGTCGACGGTCGCTCAATCCTGACCCCTGCCGTGTCTGTGCCCTCAGGTGACGTTCTCAGCGGCGTCTGCTACGTCGGCGTCTGGAACATGCCGGCCCTGCGCGGCTTCGTGCTGGCACCCCTTGTTGTCTACCTCGCCCTGGGCACCGTCTTCCTGCTGGCCGGCTTCGTCTCCCTCTTCAAGATTCGCACCATCATGAAGAGCGACGGCACTCGCACCGACAAGTTGGAGAAGCTGATGATTCGTATTGGCGTGTTCTCGGTGTTGTACACCCTGCCAGCCACACTGGTCATCGCCTGTCTGTTCTACGAGCAGGCTTACATGGACCAGTGGACTCTCGGCTGGCAGGAGCGGCAGTGCGCGCAGAGGTCGAAATACGCCATCCCCTGTCCGCCGCGCCTGCCCGGAGGGCCGCGGCCGCAGCCGCACTTTGAGTTCTTCATGATCAAGTACGTGATGCTGCTGATTGTCGGCATCACCAGTGGCTTTTGGGTGTGGTCGCGGAAGACCCTGCAGACGTGGGGTCGGCTGTGCGGCCGCGGTGCGCCGCCTACGGTGTATCGTACCCCTGACGGGCGAGTAGTACACCCAAATAGGGTGTGAGTGGCGCGGGGCGAACGGAAATGAATGGACATCAGTGATGCGTGTGGAAGAGAGCGGAAGTGTGCTGAAACGGACGGTAATCATCCTGCCCTGACGTAGATCTGACGTGAACGTCAGGGTCGGGATCGCCGCCGTAACGTACTGCTCAGCCGCGTGCCGGATGCGCGCCCGTAAAAACTTTGCCACTAGTGGGATTTGAACCCACGACCCGTCTGCTGGGCTGCTGCCTTCTGTGTTCAATGACGCTCGCTCTGCTTGGGGCCATTGCTCTGCGTTTGTCTGTGATGATGTATTGGTTCAACATAAATGCTACGTTGCCTTCGAAGCGCCGCTCGTCGCTGGTAGTTCGACGCTACGCCTCCTGGCGTCATGGTTAGCTCCGAGTGGTCGATGAGCCGTCGAATGTGTCGCGTGTCGAGAAGCCATTAGCGAAAGCGAGTGTGAATGAGGGACGGCCGACTGCCATGCCAGACCGTTTTCAGGCAGTCAGTCAACTGGGGCGAGTGTGTGAGTTGTTGTGGGGCCTGTTTGGGAGCCGGGGCATCGCGCGCGTGCAGGCAGGGTCTAACCCGCGCCGCTGAATCTCATGGGGCCGCCGCTGCCTTGGCGCGCCGGTGGGCGGTGCCAGTGCCCACTCCAGTAAAATGGCTGAGACAGGCCTGCGTTGAGATCGGAGGCATTGCAGAAACTGTTGTAATTGTTGTGTGGGGATCGTAACCTGCAAATGTGTACTATGACGTATAATATACGTAAATGTGCAAGCTATCAGATATATGAGTGCTCTTGGGATGCTGATCTCACGAAAATCACCTGACAACGCAAAACTGTGTTGTGCATTGTCTTTAAGTTTTCACACTCCCGCATTGAACAAACAGTGTTGTATTCACTTTCCAGCGCGTCTTCATCAGCGGGCACTTTCCCTCACACTTCACAGGATAAGGCAGAACACGGCGCACGTTATTGTGACATACGTTGTTATGGATGACCGACCGTTGAAGTCATCCTCCCGAGTCCCGGAACAGACTCGCGCATAGTACTAAAACGTAAGTCACGAAATATGACACAGCATTCGCTTCTTCGTTCATTTCATAGACAATGGCTTCCACAAAAAGTCTGAGGTGCGCAAGAGATTTTCAGCCGCACAAAAAGCGTTACTGTGATGGATTTAGTGAGCGACACACAACTGCAGTTTTCCATACGCGTAGTTCGAAATCGGGCGGACACCGAATTCAGTCCGATGCATCACCTCACTACATATCAATTTACAATTCAGTCGAAGTTACGCCTAGCCTCGCCCCATCAGTCTGCAGATCAGGGCCTCAACCAGTGATGATGCATCACCAGACGTCAGTCGCTCCGTTATCATCTCTCATCAGCGTCACTGACGAGCGTCTCTGCAATGCATCAGCTGACGCCGCGACAGGCGGCCGGTCGGACCACTTTTTTGACCGTTGTTTCCTCGACCAGCACTCGCAGAGACCAGTCCTGTGTCCTGTCAGTGATACCAGCCCCTGTCGCTGCCAGACGCTTCTAAAAGCGGCGCCTGCTCGCCAAACCGACTTGCAAGGCTGGACCTCACACATTAGAGGCACCGACCCGGGGAGGGAGGAGGAAATTCACCAGGTGGTCAACTGTAGGCAATTAAGATTGGCTGACTTCTTACGTAACCCGACGCCGGTTAAAGTGCAGAGTGCTGTTACGTTTACCGTTATCAGTAGGCAGACTGACAGCTGAGCTCATCTCCGAGTAGCGGGCTACCAGCCCGGGCGCTATCATGCGTTTGTGTGTCTGTCTGTCTTTCATCGAGCGGGCAGCCATCAAGAGAGCTATCATGCGTTTGTGTGCCTGTCTGTTTGTGGGTCTGTCGAGGTTCGTCTCTGTCCACAGCCGCCATCGATCATCAGACAGCGAGCCAGTAGCGGTTTGTGTTTATTGTACTGACCGTATGCCGGCGGCACGAGCATCCACACGCCGCCGGCAGCTCCAACGGAGCCGGTCACAGGAATAGACTATCCGAACGGAGCACACGGATACGCAGGGACCGCCGCAACGAGGACAGACACGCTGGCAGACAACCGATCAGGCGTCAGGGCGGGCCCTTAAACTGAACCTATCTGTCCTACGCGTCACAGACACAGACACAGCACAGCAACGACTTTACAGTAACGGAGTTTTAACCTCGAAATTGTCCAAATCCTCCGATGAAAGCCTTATATCAACAAGTAAATCGCAACATGAAACTTCCAGGCAATGCAGATTCGATTCAACGAAACATCTGCCAGCATCTATCGACCATCGCCGTAACTCCTATGTATGTACAGCACAAACATTACAAAAGAGCCTATTGTACAATCACATGCAGAGAGAACCACCGGAACCACGGTCTCTATCTCTCGCCCTCCTTGTACGGAACTAACAGCACTAACGCACCGGCCATCTCGGCACCAACAATGGCCCGGCTGGGGCCAAGGCGTGACCGAGGGGCCGGTATGATACAGCGACTTGCATTGACGCTCTGTCTTCCAGCTTACAATAGCCAATCAGTAGTACAGCGCTCGTCTGTGCTGGTATCGTCAGCCAGGGGCGGGGTGGGGCAGGCCTGGAGAGGGGAAGAGGATGGGAGTGGGAGGAGAGAGGATCAGGGGAGGCTAGCCAGAGCCAGAAGATTGCGTGTGGTAAGCCGCTGCGGAGGGATGATATGGAACAGCGCAGAACTGAACAAGGTGCGCCCGAAACGAATTACAAGCTTCAAAGTGCGTCCGAAAGTGTCTATCTAAACTGCAACTCCATAAACTTCACCACGAGGACATGGTTTTCATTCTTGACTACTTTGCAACGACCGATCTGTTTTCTGCACTTCCGACCAACACAAATCCGGATTTAGTGAAACAAGAGAAAAGAAGAAAACACTAGATTACTACCTACTACCGACCAGCGCCTCGCTCACGTTCCTACGCCCTGTTAACCCTGCGCACCAGCAGTCCCTCTCCCGTTTCATCGTCTCCCCCGGTACATCGTTAGCTCTCTAGTCTCTGTATCGTACCAAGGCGGTGGAATCTCCCTGACACACACTTGCACTAACAGCACAGACCGTCAGACATCCTGTCCTCGCCATTTACAGTGGCTAATGAGTCGCGTAGACACCTCAAGCTCAGGATCTCTATCATCGACCCCTTTCCTCTCTCTCCCGAGACCACCCGCCTCTGCCCCCACCACTTCCCACCGCGGGGGCCATATTCTAGCTGGCTATACCACCCGCCCGTCGAGCACCGTACAACTCTACTGGGTGACGACACACCAACCTTCGCTCCTTCTGAACATACCATCACTACGCACTGTCCCTGTTTCCTGTAGACTTCCAGCCATCACTACCGAACATCACACCATCGTTATAACGTCACCAGTGACGTGACGTCACACCGCAGCCGTGACGTCACCAGCCGGGGGTCAGAAGTCCACGGGGTCGGAGGCGGGGCCGGCGTCTCCCGACCCGCCCGGCTGAGACGACGGACCCACGTACAGCTCGCCAAAGCGGCTCATATACTTGCGCACGTAGTAGCGAGCTTTGTGCTTGACCGGATCGCTTGGAACGAGGTCTTCGACGCGCTTCACGCTTCGCAGTTCCTTTACTAGCACGTGGTGCGTCAGCTGCCGGGGAGAAAGGGTCATGTCATGGGGTGAGTAAGGGGTCAGGGGCTCTGCATTGGGTGGGGCCAGCGGTTAGATAAGGGTAGCGAATGTCATAAATCGGCATCTTATTTGCAAGCCGCAACACAAAGATGAGTTTGGTGAGAAAAAAAAAACAACATAGAGCAGGGCTCAACAAAGAACAATGTAGATGTTCTTGTGTAATGAGAAACTTGAGTAACCTTTTGTAATGGAAAACTGGAGTTGAATATCATTCAATGGAACATGATTTAGACCAAACAAATAATTAAAGCTATAAAAAGGCGGCATGATAAGGAAGAACTGGAGACGCTTCCGGAAAGACTGTACGCTTGAAATGGTTATCGAGACTTCCCCGAAGCACAAAGAGGGTCGTTTTACGCCCAGTGACGCGCAGCTACCAGCTTTATGGCATGATCAAATAGCGCGTAAAACAACGGGTGCTACCCATCCGTGAGAGTGGCCGTAATTCAGCCCCAATCAACTTCCAGCCGGCGGGCAGGCTGCCAATCGTAAAATGGTCACAGAATGGACTAACTACAACGCATCACTTCAAATGAGGACCGGCACGTACAGTGTTCTACCAATCATCTCAACACGCTCAGCAGGCAACTAACTACTAGAAAAGAAACGGGAAGACTGTCACACAAAGACTGGCCAAGACAAAGAAGTGACATGGAATATGAACTGAAGGTGTGATAGAGGAACATTGGGAACCAGCTGACAACACCATTCATAGGTTAGGGCTGATGGATAAGGGACGAATGGTCAACCTTCGCCAGATCACCCAGCAACATGTTTAATGGTGTGGAATGCGGATAGCCTCCTAGAAGTGCAGCGTCTATACGGATCAAATACGGGTGAATCGTTGGGATTGTTGGAAAGGGTGTCTGTGAACCGGAAGGTGACATACGTGGAAGTGACACACCATATGGCAAAACGTGCCGGTCGGCTTAGCCATGCTATGGGGATTTCACGGTGAAATGTCCGCCTATAAGGATCGTGAGGATAGCCGCAAATAACTATACAAAAACAAGCCACCAGCCCATTCTGAGACCCCCGCGGGACCATTCCCACGTTAGGAGAAAAGAAAACTAAGAAGCTTTATTTGTTACTTAGCGTTAGCGTTCGTCGACGAAACAAAGCCTCATGGCAGAGCTGATGCTTCAAAGCAATCCACCGCCCAGGCAAGGTGTTTACTCAAACTGAGTACCATTAAATTCGCGACAGAAACCCAACGTAACCGCAACATGCTACTGGCACTACCACCTCCTCAAGACATGATTTGACTTAGCACGGCGAAAGAGCACTCAATCATAGCACGGCTTACTAAATAAGCACTTTGGTTTTTCAAAGTGCTTGGAATGCAAGGTCATTTAATCTAACACACTTCCATGAAACCCTCCACGCTGGACCCTTACCCCGGGTTCAACACGCACCTTTTTGGCGAGCAGTTTGAAGTCCTCTGTGGATGTGATGCGGCCCTGCTTGCAGGTCGGCCTGCGGAAGCCGTTGAGCACGGAGACGACGACAGCCGACATGTGCACCAGGAACCTGTCCTTAATCTGCAACACCGGGCTTATGTCCTTTGTCTGTGGAGCACGCGTCGGCCGTTCACATCCCACGCGGCGGGCACGGATACACGGTCCCGGACCAGACGACCGGTTAGAGTCGCTCGACTTAGGTGACTGTATTACACTAAGTACAGGGTAAACCCAACAGTCACCATCACCGTCTAAATACTAACCTCAGGATATTGTTACCCTCACACAAAATAAGAAAAGTGGACAAGCTTCTATAGCAAAACTGAAACATCCCGACCCCGAAGAAGTGTACACAAGGACGACGGCTTTGGTGCCGTCCAAACCATGCCTGTCGCCTCAGACATGACTGAAATATTGACTTTACTCGAGCGGTAATGCCCTAATCCCGCCATAAATTATCAAAACGACAACAGTGCTGATAGGAAGATAGGACCTCAGCGCGGACTCCCGTGCCCAGTGCTTCGTAGAGCGCTGCCCGGCCTGCCCAATATGTCACGCCTGCCATAAATATGATTGTGGCTGATCCCTTAACGGCACTCCGTTGTTGAACGAAAGACTGATAGCGGTTCGCTGATAGCTACTGGCTAGTGGCATGCCGGTGTTGGACAATGCTTTTTCTGTACGTTTACCGGGGATTCACAAACAAATATCCTGTTACAGACGAAAGATCAATAAGCTGGCGATACGGGCCCGATAAAGTTCACACACAAGTAGCAAGGTGGATTTCCGCTTACAAAGCACACACCACATGAATTTGTCAAACGTCAATGTAGCATGAAACGTAGAGACAAACCAAGTCGAGCAGTGCTAACTCGGGTATCAAACAATACAATATCACAAAATTTGAAGAAATACATCAAATTTGGTACAAATTTAGCGACTTCCTGTACATGAGTAGTTATGCTCTACCTGATAATGTACAGGGTGTCTCAAAAGTTCGTTCACAGGTACCAGCCATGCTTTTTTGTCAATAATTCTGAATCAACAAGAAATTAACAGTCGAAATTTTGCATGGGCATTGGTGACAACCTTCCTCAAGCAGCCTCATTGTTTTCAAGTGCATTCGACCCTTCATGAGCTCACAAAAAGGGTTCACCTCTGACCATGGGTCAGGCACGAAAATGTAGGTTGCAAAGTCGGGTATGTTGTGAAACTCTCTGTTTCAGGAGTAATGGGAATGGTTAAGTCGGAAATGACACATGGCTAAGTGTCGGCGAGGATGGGTGCAACATGATGATCATCTCATAAAAACGGTGGCTAAAATTTTTGAAGGACGAAACCATGCGAGACTAACGGCGTTTTGAACGACCCTCGCACAACAGCAGACTCGTGTTCCGGAAAGCAGCTGAAAATGCGGTCATAACTATTGAAAACTGGCAAGAAGGTCACAGACAGAGGTTACCCATTTTCAAGAAGTGCAGGTCATCGTAAAATAAAGACAAATTATAATTTAAAATTGTTTATAATATCTATAACGCTAATTTTTGGGGACAATAACACAAAAATCGTCAATGCCAAGGACACCTGACCCTCCAAAAGTATCAGTTATTGTAAAATTTTATCTAGCGAAGTTTCAAGAGGCAGATCTGCAGCGAATAATTTTCTTTTAAACACAAAATCCCGATAAAACCACACGATGGACAGGTTTGGGCCGTTTACAAAGCAGAACATCTCCCGAGGAAAACACTCCGCAACCGAGCGAAGGTCTTGGCATGGGGAATGACGAGCGCTTGGAATTTGCAAAATTTGCACAATGTGTCTGAGAAACAGACGTCCGACACATTCTGCTACCATATGATGCGAAAAATTTACTCCTGGTACTTTCCGTTTGTTCAGGACTGGGGTCGTTTTGAAAAGGAAAATGGCGCTTGGGATGTCGGCGCCAGTCATTCATGAAGGAGTTAGCGCCAGAGAATGCCTACAAAATACTCAAGAATGGTGTCGATGCAAGCTGTCGGCTTTCAGGGAAAATCAGATGTTGCCGGGGAGCTAGTCAAAACTAAATCCGACGCAGAAACTGCAGGGGATTCCCCTGCAAGAGCTTGAAAGCTGGTAACCTTTTATCAGCCTCCGGCAGCTGACGGAGCAACAAAAATAGGTATGGGAAAATATTTTTGGAGATACAGCAAAGGGGTTGGTTTCCAACCTTCTTAATCAGTTGTCAAAGCATACATATTTGTCTAGTGTACACACAGACACCAAACCCTTATACTTTTGGCCGGTTCTTATATGCTTTATTGGCATGGGAAATGTGTGAACGAACTTTTGAGACACCCTGTAAGGACTAAGGATGAGAAAGGTCACCAATTATTGGACAAATTGAGTTATATTCCCTCGCACTTACACGCACACACTACCAGCAACCCACCACCATGCCCACTCCTCTCCCTGCCTTTAGCCCGTCCCCCGTACCTTTTTGGCCGTCTCTGAGCTGGTGTCCGCCGCGGCGGAGGTAGGTTTCGGTTTGACCGACGCCGGACCCGCGGAGCCCGCCGAGGGTTCAACGGAGGACGAGGAACTTCTCTTGGGATCCAGCTTCCGCCGCTTGGCCAGCACCGCCGCCTCCGCCTCGGCTTCGGCTCGCCGCCGCTCCCGGGCTCTGAGAGGAGTCAGATGGGCGTCATATGGGGGTCAGATGGGGATCGGACATGGTCAAAAGGGTCAGGGACGGGTAAGACGAGGATCAGAGACTAAGAAGAGCAAGAGAGCGGCCAGGTAAAAGTCAGATAGGAATTAAGGAGGTTTTGGCTAGGAGTCTAACAGGGGAAGGAGAAGTCAGATAAGGGCAGGCAGGTCAAACGGATCAGAACTGAGAAAGACGGGCTTGTCCGGAATAAATAATACACGGGTAGCACATAGTTACGGCGGGAGCAGATAGGCGTTTATCCCGCTCAGAAGCGAGATCACGAGGGACGAGAGGCGCTTGCTAGACAGGAATGAATAATACACGGGTAGCACATAGTTACGGCGGGAACAGATAGGGGTTTATCAGGCTCAGAAGCGAGATCACGAGGGACGAGAGGTGCGTGAAACCTACCGCAGCTAAGAGGACGATTTTTAGCAGTGCGGCTGACCATTGCAACATGAGTAATAATTTACAATGTCCACTCAACGTTAGTCTCATAATCAGAACATTATCATAGTGCATCAATGACTGAAGTGGAGGCTAGCCAATAACCACGATAGCGTCACGGTAAATTAATAAAGGCGCGGTGCTAATACTGATAAGCTGAATGTAACCGAACGATAGCATCATAGATTGTCGGGGAACACCTGAAATAAGTTGCAGCTTGCTTGTCAAATAATCAAGCCCTCTTTAATTTGTCACACAACCTTCAGAAATTATTATCAAACCATTCTCTTCCCCCATCAACGTCCTGAGTTATACCCCACTCCCCAACGCCAGACATACGTCCCCTGACCCCACGCGGTAACTCACGCCTGTTCCTGTTGCTGCAGTAGCGCCTCCTCCTTCGCCTTGAACCTCTTGATGGCCTCCTCGCGGATGTGTCGCGCCTCGTCACCGGGCGCCCGGTCGCCGATAGTGCTCTCCTGCTGGTGTCGCCGGTGCTTCCTCAGCAGACGCTCACACTCGCGGTCTCGGCGCCGCTCGCGCCGCGCGTCGGCGCGCCGCTGTCGTCGCTCTCGACGCTCGCGACGACGCGACTCGGAGCGGCTCGACTCCGGTGGAGGCTGGGGGTGGGGCAGGCGGGTTAGAGGGAGAGCTGACTTAGGGAGACTGCAAATGACGAGAAACGTGGAACGTCACTGATTTTCCTGTCGATAGACTTGAAAGAAAAACGAAGTAACATATGTACAGAAATCAGATCATGAAATTCGCTAACAGATGGTTCTACATGTTTTCTTTTGAGACCATAATAATATTGATTCTAATTTCTATCCTATCCTGATGTAGATATCTATACTCACACTGGGCGGTTTGTCCAGCAGCGGATCCGCCGTCCTGCTGCTGTGGCGACGACTCAGGCGGCGTAGCAGCCTCTCTGCGGCCGTTACGTCGGGGATCTCCCCCTCCTCTAACTCGTCTTCAGGTGCCGTCAGTCGCGGCGGCGGAGGCGCCTCGGGTAACACAGGGCTGGGAGTGCGCGGCTGGGCCGGACGCTCCTGGACAGAACGGCGACGGGGTTAGTGAGTGGGGGCTGGGTAAAATGGACGAATGCAAATAAATCCCATCAAAGAAAATGAATTTTACAAAGTGAAAGCCAATGCCGACTAGCCAAAGTTCAACGCTAATCTCGAGGCCACAGGGATCTTTGTCAATAGAAACACAAAGGACAGACAGGTAACCAATGACGTAACCCACTGACACTATTAGGCTACTTCACTAAACTGAACGTAACTATTAATACTCGACGTAACCTCAGTCCGCACCGTCACTCCACTCGCCTCTAGAACACGTCCTTACCTTGCCCGCACTGCCGCCACTCCCAGAGCTGAGTCGCCTCTTCCGCCGGACGGCCGACGGACTCGCATGACCCCCGTGACTGGACTCTGAGTCGGAGCTGGATTCTGAGCTGGAGCTGGACGAGCTGCTCTCGGAGCTGGACTCGGAGCTGGACTGGTTGGTGGGGCTGTAGCTGGGCCCGCCGACCGGCTCCGGGTCGGCTACTGTGGAGTCCGGGTAGGCGGGCGGGTCCCAGCGAGTCTCCAGCGTCACCTGAAGACGTAGTCAGCGCAGGTCAGCAATGGGCGGAGGCGGCGGAGGCGGGGCGACTAAGCATGTCTGGCTAACTCAGGTCAGGATACGGCGTCCGGAAAGAGACTCAGGAAACAGACCCTGAATTATTTCAGACAGGCTCACCCAGAAAGGTTTTCACCTGAGTAGTCCAAACCAATGCTGCTAAATCGAGAATCATTCTAGCAGTAACAGCCAAATTCGCCATCTCCAGTAACAGCCAAGTTCGCCATCTCAATAACATGCCCAAAGCCAGTCGCGGAACTCTCTTCCATTTCTAGATCGGTCTAGAACACGTGTAGGCTCAGCAAACCCCGCCCAGCCACGTCCACCTCTCACACCCACCTGATGATAGTAGTACACCTTTCCCGTATCATCGGTCGCCATTCTCCACTTGGGCGGCAGTCGGACCGAGCCCTCTGCCTCCGGCTCAGGCGGCGGCGGTGGCCGGGCCGGTTCGCGGGGAAGGGGCGGCTGCTGAGGCGGCGGTGAGCGCGGCCGGGCGGTCTCCTCCGGCAGGGGAATACTGGCCACGCTGTCGGCCGGCCCCAGCCCGGAGCGGGTGGTAGTAGAGGTAGAGGTGAGACTGGGGTCCGGCACGAACCTAAGGGAGCAGTGATGGGTGGGAGTGAGAATATGCAGAATAAAGTAATGTCCAGCTAGCTGACCACCTAAATATACCAACAACGAACAAAAAGGGAGTTCTTGTCGAGGGACTTAAGAACGTAAGATACAATTCGAATAGGTCACCACTCACCACAATCACACATAAAAAGAAGTGTTGGTACTGACTTCCCAGATCACACACGGAATTCAAAGCCATATTATGCTTAAACCCACAACATACAGAAGTAGTACCAATCATCATCCAGTAAAACCCGCCATAACACCTACCCCTCAGCTAACAACTAACAACTAACCCATACGTCCCCCACACTCACCTGCCAGTGACCTGAGCCCTCAGCAGGTCCATCAGACCCATCTGTGGTAACTGATCGGCCATCACGCGCTGCGGCTGCTGCGGGGGCGGGGACGGCGGCCGACGCTGGGGAGGGGACGGCGGACGGTTCCCGGCGGGAGGGGACGGCGGGCGGGTCTCCGCGGGAGGGGAGGGAGGCCGAGCCTCCGCGGGAGGGGAGGGCGGCCGAGCGGTGGTCGGTGGGGGTGCAGATGTAGACTGCCGGCCCTGCGCCACCCGCGCGAGGTACTGCTGGGCCTGCTGGAGATCGACCGCCGCCATACTCTGCGGGGAGAAGAAGATGGAAGGTGAGGTTAGACATGCAAAACAATTATTGAAAAGGAAGACAGTGAACTACTCACAGGCACACAAGAAAGATAGCATTGACTCCCCTATGCTATCGTAAAACTAAAGAAGCAGACGATATACATGAATTTGAATATGAACTTGTCTTGTATGCTCTCAAGACAAATTCATATTAAACAGATGCTCCGTGATAATGAGTAATGCTGACAGATAGAATCTTATCAAAGACTGAAAATTTAAGGTGACTGGACTATTTCGACATCTAAATTGACAGCAAACAGCAGCGGCTTTAAAAAGGCCAGATAACAGCACAACCTTCTCACCACCTTCAAACGCCACACCATTCCGTCGGCGACTGACCTGGAATACGGCCAGGTGATGAGGTAGGGCTGCCATGAGGGCCGGGTCGGCGCCAGAGGCCGCCACCAGAGGCACGGCCGGGTCACCGGGGGTGTACGGCTGCCACGCGCCCGCCGACGGCTCCCAGTAGTACCTGAGGGGTGAGTGATGTGATCGGAGAACAACACTACGCTATGTGCAACAAGTAATAGCGATCCGAGATCATGACGGCACTGCCAGAGTAAACGCAAAGTAAGAAGGCACTTGAGCAAGAGTTACGAGCTACATTGAGTTACATTAAATCGCTAGACCAGACTATATCCTGCGACACGACAAAGCCACATAACACACATTGCCCCACCAACCACCAGAATCGGCCCACCTGGTGCCTCTCTCTAGTCTAGATCAACCACCTCTGGAGTACAAGCCCGCCTCTCTTAGACCAAACACCTTTGAAGGAATACCCGCCCAGATCAGCCACACCTTCCCCTCCTAAGAACGACTACCACACTCTCGGGCCTCTGTAAACTAGCTGCCACTACATCCCCGAGTCCCGAATCCCCACTCACTGGAAGCTGGCGTCGAAGATGGGCGTCAGGTAGGGATCCAGGCCGAGCATGGTACAGCGCTGCTCGTGGCCGCTCCAGAGCTCCTCCTGCTGCTGTCGCTGTACCCTCTCCGGCTCCGGCTCCGGCTCCGGCTCCGGCTCCGGCTCCGGCACCGGCTCCGTCACCGCGGGAGCCGCGGGTGCGGGGTCGCCCTGGAGCCGGCGGCGCTCCTGCTCTCGTCTCTGCCGCTCCTGCTCCTCCTCCTGTTGGACCTCCAGAGTGAACAGCTTGCGCCGCTCCTCCTTGGTCAGGCGGCTGTCGGAGGGCGGAGGGCGATCGTCAAGATAGGCGGCGGAGCACGATGGGTTACAACTTACAACTGTGGGTAAAAGGAGCAAAATGGCATCAGAATATGCAATGAACTAAGTGGTTGAGAAACTAAATGCGAATAACAGGATTACGGACACCATGACGAATTTTCCGGTAAAAACTGTTGAAAAACATCTTTAGATTAAAAATGATAGCAAAATGAGCAAAAAACATACCTTACAAGCAAACCATAGACACGCACCGCACCTTCTACCCTGTTGCTTTACGTTCTAAAATTAGAGGTGACGTACCTATAAACCATCGCTCGACCGATAACACCACCGTTTCATAGAGCTACAACCCTAAGAATCAGCCGTATCTCACCTATCGCTGAAGGCGCGGTACTTTTTGGTGCGCCGCTCCACGGGTTCTGGCGACTCCCTGGAGCGTTTTCTGCGCTCCGGCGAGCAGCCGTAGCCGCGCTTGGCGTACTGGGAGCTGGCCCGCGTCTGCTGCTCCAGGTACGTCTGGTAACCACGGTCTGGCAACACAGCGGTGACGTCACGTGTGAGTGGAAGATGGGAGGCGATCGTGGATTTGAGGCACTTAACTTGGATTATAAGGCAGGTTGAACAGCACCGTGGCGATGACATGGAGTTGTAAGAGAGCCGCATTTATTGTGAAAAACTCACCTTGCCAATGACAACGGTAAACACGTTTCAAACATCTTCTTCAGATATCTAGATACACATTACACAATTATACCTACTCATCAAAATTTGACCATACATGGAGTCGGCACCCACTCACCGGCCTCCTGTTCGTGCTCCCGCATCCGCTGAAGCCGCTCCTTTTTCGGGATGCGGAAGACGTTCTTCAGGGTGGACCACGAGGTCAGCAGCTCCTTGGCCAGCTCAGAGATCTGAAAGAGGATGGGAACGGGTAGAGTAGAGGAACGGCGATGTAGGCAAAGAATATGGCACAACGAAACTCAATAGTCAGTGCCACTGGTTTATGCGAAAAGTGACGTGACCAATTCAACAGAACAAATTCGTACAATGCATGCAAATTATTGAACCAAGGAAAGAAATTCGTACGTATTTGAATGTTTGTGAAGCTGCAATGGACAACAAAACGATATTGATTAAATCGACACACCAGTCGCTGGCCGATTTTTTTTTGGAGTGATACCACATACAACCATTTCAATTTCAAAATCACTTTCCACCCAACCAATCCCAAGCCCAGCAAATAACCCCCATCCAACCTACCTCCGCGGCCTCCTTGTCGCCGATCGGTCCAGCCTCGGGCGGCGTGTGGTCACTCGGCGGGTCCGTATCCGGCGTGGTGGGGGTGCTCGGTCGACTGGCCTGTGCCCATCGCTCCACGGCGGCCAGTACACGCGACTCGCGCACCGCTGTACGGTCGGGAATCGGCAGCACCGAGAGAGTTCGCAGGATCTGCCCGGCGGAGACGTACATGTTATTGGCTCGAAATGGGAAGCAACTGTGAAACAAAGATGCAAATTACAGCAAATGATGTAGGCACAAGATGGATACAGGTTGGCATACTTGATAGGACATCATGGTCGATGACAGAGTGATAAATGTTTGGTAAATAAAAATTGAGACATAAGCCAGAATACCTATATTGTGAAAGTACAGTCTTCAAACGTAAGTGGCATCCTCTAAGTAGGATCTTAACTCGTATTACCATCAGCAGCTATAAGGCATTGTTCGACGTCTGGTTTAGTATCTCAATTGTCTTCATGAGGCTGTGCCATTGATAACATGCATATCCCATCCCTCCTTACCTCCTTCCTGAGACTGTGCGTGTCCGAGTCGGGCTGTGAGTCGCCGTTGGTGGACGGACCGCATGCCATCCAGGTCCACATCAGACGCAGCCCGTGGTAGTCCAGAAACAGGCGTCTGTGGGAACACGGGACGAGCGTTAGACTGGCAAGCTAAGACAGACAGTACTCAGTAGCAATATCAGAACAAGGCGCCGGCCGTGGTAGTCCAGAGCCAGGCGTCTGTGGGGCATACGAATAGAGCGTTAGACTGGTGAACTGAAACATACTGTAGCAGAAGCAGAACAAGACGGAGGCCGTGGTAGTCCAGAAACAGACGACTGGTGGGGTCAACGGGGTATATGTTAGATGAGGTAATGCAAATAAAATTTGGAACGGAAATTTGCAATCATGGGAGAACAATCGATAGACCGGGGGAAACGTTCAAGCTGAAAATATGAAACAAGTGCGAACTACCATATTGTATGCCCCGACAAATCGCAGCAAACCTGAATTCTCCCGACGCAAGCAGCTTTAGGCCAGTCTCGCTGCCCGCAGCACCCATGGCAAGGCCAGGCCTTGCCATTTGTCCCTCAAATCTGATTCCAAACCCCTTTCAGCCACCCATCTATCCCTTAAAAAAAAACCTTCCCCTCCTACCTGCACGGCTGGTCGGCAGCCCTCAGCAGCTGTAGCAGCGTACACCGGTCGGCGTCGCTCTCGGCCCGCACCATCAAACGGGACAGCTGTAGTGTGTGCTGGCGGGACTTGAGGCCGGACGCCGCCAGACGGGAGATCTCCACACCCAGCTGTAGGCACAGACAGGGAGAGGTTCAGGAGAACGCCATGACGCCAGAAAAACGAGAACCGTATGTCAGTAGATGAGAATGAAGCCTTTGGTCGAAGGTGATGAATATGACTGTTTTTTTTTAAGGTACAATACTTTTTTTCAAACATTTATTGACAAACCATACAAATATGACACAAGTAAATAATAATCGAGGGCTCTCAAGCCCAACAAGGACAGTCTCTGTCATGGCTTCTGACACGAAACAGCCGGTTTCCCGTCTATGCTAACGAGCGCTCCAGGTTGAGACGTTTAAACCCGCAAACACCTGATATGCACCGACACAATAGGGCTTTCAAAACCCCCACAACGTGCGAGTAATATTTGGCGAGCTGTACACGCTGGCATACAGTGTTGGCAATATACACAAATCGGACGCCACATTTCAACTGCATTTTGACTGGGCGGCGGCCGAATTATAAAAATATAGCTCGCCACCACCACGTGATGTGGTGTGGCCCGCCTGGCCAAGCCGCCCCGGTGTCCTTTCATGGACTAAAGAAACGCGGCGGGCTATCAGCCACCGCCCGCGCCGCCCGGCGAGGGGTATCGCGGGCGGCGCCCCCTATCCACCGGCCGGACGTGCGAGCCGTCGACTTGTAGGGCCGGCGCCCCGCACGCCCGGCCGGCCGACCGGCCCCAGTCAAAGAGGCCGGTCCCGGGTTGGCCCGGATGGGTCTTGGGAGCGGTGGCTGATTTTTTATTTTTTAAACAAACTAATCAACACAAAAAAAAAAACGAAAAAGAAAGAAAGAGGGACTCGTCTGGTGCGTCAGCGGCGCAGGCGGCGGCGGCCGCCGCAACGAGGGAAACCCCGGCGGCGACGGCGGCGGCCGGCCACAGCAGTGCACCAGCGCTCGCTGACCGCTACCCGCCCCCGCACCGGCGCCGGGGCACGCGGGCGCGCCTCCGCAGCGGACCGGCTCGCAGCATCGCGGTGACACAGGATGGGACTGAATGATGAGGCTGGGAGAAGGGTAAGGATGATCGTAATCTCTTTTTGTTCGTGAATTGTCTATGTTCTTAGTTTGATATTGTGATTGAAGAAATGCTGGTGTGTATTTGCCCAGTACTTGGTAACTTTAATTGTTTACTAAATGCTGTACGTTTCCCCATTTCTTGTTGAATTTGTGTGTTGTGTTGGATAACCTAGCTGTGTATAATTCAATTTCAGCCTCCCATCGAAGTTTGTTTTTTAGAGAAGCTATGCTAGGGTGTGTCTCGTTATAACCTGCTTCGTATATTACCATTTTTGCTAGAGTTATGATTATTATTTCTATATCGCTAAGGTTTTCAAGGAAAAACCATGACGCTAGGTTTCCCAGATTTATTGCTAATGGCCTACCAAAAGCTGTTTTAATGGATGACACATACGACTGAGTTATCGGGCATTGCCAGTACATATGCAATATTTTTTTTCGAACTTTTTTTAACCTAGCTTTTATACACAGCTTTTTCAAACTGTTAAATTGCTTTAAAAACTTAAGAGAAAAGTTGCATTATATTGGCAGTACAAAGAAGTTAACGCGTGAATCTGTGCATCTCCGAGCAAAGCATGCATGCTCATGCCTGGCAGATTGCTGTTACTACAGAATCACTCATCACAGAACAAACTAGGCTATCACCCACCCAATCCCTGAAACCCCTTTCCTCATCCACCCTCTCCGAAGCACCCACCTCTCTGCGCGCCGCGTCTTTCCTCATGACCCGCGCACGATCGGCCTTCCTCGCCGCTCCTGCGCGCGCTCCGGACTCCTCCTCCTCGCCATCATCCTCCTCCTCACTCTCTGGAGTCTGTTCGTCCGGTTTTCGGCCGATCCAGCCGCGGCACTGCGCCGAGCCGCAGAAACAGCGTTGCGCCTTCCGGCCGTACCTATGGATAGCGGTGGGAGGGATGTTAGGGTGGAGATGGGTGGAGAGGTGAGGGGGGGGGGGGAGATATCAGTGAGGTGGACTCAAAGATGCAGTCTGCATGAAGAGCACTTGGACAAAGGTAAACTTTGATTGTGATTTCCAAGAGAACAGCAGAAGGGTTAAAACATGCGTAAAACAAGAGAAAAAAAGTGAAAATAAAATAGGAAAATACGGGAAGATGTTCTGTGTGTGCAACACAGTAGGAATATATGCGTATCGAGCTCGTGCAATGCACCAACAAGGAGCAAAGCCATGACCTAAGTAACAGCTGTGAAAGCATAACCTGACCTGCGCAGTTGGTAGTCGAATGTGATCTCCTCTCCGGCTGCCACGGGCCGCTGAGTGAAGAAGCCGATACGGATCTCACCGTTCACCGTCCACTGAAAGGCAATCACACGTGTTACAGCCAGGGCCCAGGTTAGAGGCAAAGGGGTGCGGCGAGCGCAGTGAAGACGGCCATTTTGAAACAGTCGCGGTAATACAAAACCTGCAATCGATATGTCTTACTTGACGTATTTGCCATACCACTTTGTGAATAAACGGCTCTTTTACAAGTCCACTGATTCTTATAGACAAGCTTGCACATGTAACATTTGGCTCCCTGCAAAAATGATAAGCCTGTGTAGGTAAAAAAAAAAAACATTTCACGCTGAGCCTTCTATGCCCCGCAAATCTGACCACCCACCTCTCTATAATTACTCAACACAATGCTGGTAAAGCGACACCCACCTTCTGCGTTTCCGAGTTGGGCTCGCAGCTGTGGTTGATGAAGCGCGAGTCGTTGCCCTTCTCTGTGGCGTCCACAATGGTGTCGCCGCGCAGCGCCATGAAGTACTGGTGGTTGTACTTGAGACGGGCGTACTCGGAGCGGCGGCGACGGAACTCACGCATGTCCAGCACCTGAGCGAGGGGAAGGGGAGCGAGTGCGTATCAGTGAACGAGCGTTGGTGATGAAGCTTGCGTTTTTTTTTTTTTTTTTTGTCTTTACGATTTGATGCGAACAATATACGGAATTAGTAGAATACCTACAGCTAACAAAGTGTAAGCCACAAACTGTAGCGAAATCTCAAGTGGCAAAGTTATACAAACAGATACTTGAGACTGCTTTCAGATAATCCACTGGTCAATATTTTAGCTCAAGCTAAGCCCATCAGGCATAAAAGACGGAATGAAGGACACAAAAAAATATCCGTCACACTAACATCATTCACAGACAATCCTCTTTCCTCCCTGGACCTGAACTCACCTCTCCGACATACTCGTAGATGAAGGCGCCGGCTGGCAGGTCCTGCAGTGCCCGCAGACCGTACCCTTTGAGGTCAGTACGGAACACCTCGGTACGACAGTAGCGGCGCCGGGTGAATCTCTTGTTGCCGCACCGGTCGCCCATCGGACACCGCGAACCGCTAAAAAGAGCGGCGGAGAAGGTCAGGAAAGATACATTTTCAGCAGGTGATATAAGTGTCTTCAGTGCGAGACGACACAAGCACACGCAAGCCGACCGAGCCATGACCCATTGACCATGCAACTTTGAGAGAATGAGAGGATTATCAGTGAATAAATAAGTCAGAGGTGAAATACAGACAAGCATAAACATTCAGTCTACTTAGGTGATCTTTCTTTTTCAACCTACGCTCTTGCCATCACAGCCTAGCTCGACAACCTAAACCAAACCTTCCCCAAGATAGCTTTCCACCCCGCCTCCCTCCTTCCCACCCCCTGCCCATCTCACTCACCACTCGATCATGAGCAGCCGATTGAGACAGTCGGCGCCGCAGCCCCGCTCTCCCCGCTCCAGCTCCTCTGGGGTGAGGCTGCAGTCGCACACCATGCGACGCGTCTCCTTCTGCTGTTTGGTCTCGCGAGGCTTGGGCGCCAGCCAGATGTTGTCCGTGATCACCTGTGGAGGTTGGTCAGACGGGACGGGGACGGGATGAAAACGCGGTGATTTGGCCTCTTACGCTCCTCACAGCGCTTTATGTGTGTTTTGATTGATACCAAACCGACAATGAGTAAAGTACTGACAAGTCTGCAAATACTAGGTACGAAAGGAGTAACACAGATACAGCAAAGTTTATGTTTTAAGAAAACTAACAGGCAAAGAAGAAAAGCATCGACTTTATGAACGCTACACCAAACCCAACCCCAAGCCATCCTCCGTCAATATCTCACCTGATAGTTGCGGAGTTTCTCGCCGATTTTCGCCGCATGGATGCGGCTGTTGGCGAACTTCTGGTTCAGCACCTTGGCCAGCGTGCTCATCCCCGCCTCGGCCGCTGATTTCTTCCTCTCAGGACTTGTTACATAGCCGGGCCGCTTCTTTACGTCGGCAGCCTTCTCCGCTGGTCGCTGGTCACCGCGGGTCTCGTCAGGCTTTGTCTGCGCCGGACTGCTTGAGTCCGCAGAGTCCCTGGCGGCGGACTCCTGTACCGGCGCCGCTGGACTCGGGCTGCTGGTATCAGTTGATGCCGGCGGCTCCAGTGCTGCGCTCTTACCGTCAGCGTCTGAATCACCTATTGAATGAGTCTGTGATTCGTCGGGCGGCACGGAGTCCGGATGTGAATCCCGGCACTCTTTGTCATCCGATTTTAGCGTGTCGGAGGCAGTCACACCGTCATTAGCAGTCTTCTCTGAAGCTTCGACATCGTCAGGTTTGGGTTCAGAAACAACAGGTTCTAGCTTCTTCTCGTCGTTCTCTGATTCAACAACCACCGTCGCCGATTCGTCTTGCCCCGGACGTTCCTTCGTCTCTGACTTCGCAGCTGCTGCAGTCGATTCCACGGCCTCAATCTTAGCATCATTGTCCGCGTCCTCCGTATCTGACTTCGCCACAGACTCTGCGTCTGGCTCCGCATCTGGCTTCGGCATCGCTTCGCCATCAGGCTCAGATATCTGCGAGTCAGCCTCCTCCTCCTTGGTTTCTGTCGGCTCGTTCGGCGCCGTTTTCTGACTCTCAGGCAGAGTTTCAATCAGCGTTGCTCCTTGCGAGTCGTCTGACTTCAAGGGAAGGGTGGCATCAGCATCAGCGGATGGTGGGCTACTTAGGCTCGGATCTCCAGTCACTGGGGAGGGAGGCACCGAAATCTCTGGCAAAGTCTCGGCAGCCATCGAGTCGAGATCCATCATTGTCTGTGATGGATCGTACGCGGACTGGGAGTCGTCCTTCGCCGCAGGGTAGACTGGGGATTTCCCCTCCTCATTGCCTTCCTGGCTCTCGTCTGTCGCCGCCGTGGGGTGTTCCGGATCGTACGTGGATTGGGAAAGCTTGTCCTCCGTGAGCAGATCTGGACCACTAGAAGCAACAGAGTCTTCATTTGCCAAAGGCGCCTTCACAGGTTCTTTCTCCTCCTGCGTAATGGGTTGTTCACCAAACGCAGAAGCGTCGAACGGGTGTTCGGAGTTCGATTCCAGTTCAGCTTCAACGGCCGCTGACACTGCCCTCTTGTGCTCTGCTTCAGAGTCGCTATCGTACTGGACCGACTCGAACCGGTGTTCGCGGCAGTCTGCGTCGAACCGGACATCAGACCCCTTCTTAGGCTGCTCGTTGGACTCAACAGCTAGCTCGCGACACGACTCTTTTTCCAAGTTATCGTTCAGATCTGAGCCCCTTCTTGTCGATCTGCTTACACCAAGCGATTTCTCCGGCACGGCGTCTCCTTCATCCGAATCCTCTCTGTGAAAGGAGATCTTGTCCGCGAAGCTCAAAGCTGACGGCTCGATTGGTTCCTTCTTCGATTTTTCCTCATGATCGGCAGCATCATGCTTAGGCACCTCTCCTGGAAGAGGGATATCGGCCAGGTCTATATCCATCACACATTGTTCCTGCCGGGGACTCTGGAAGTTCTCCTGCTTATCGGGCACTGGGCTTTTCGCAGGAACTCCCACATCTTCAGCGGCGACAGGCTCGGGTGGCGGAATATTGGATGTTGCATCTTCAACTGATTTTTCAGGCACAGATTCATCTGCTTCAGAGTCCAACGGATCCGTACTTCTTTCCCTGGTACATGGTTCAAGAGCTGATTCATCATCAGAAGGCTCCCTCTCCTGCCGCACAGTATCCGGCGAACGCCTTTCTTGCTCGCGGAGAGGACTATCGGGACTGGACTCGTCGCTCTGCCCTTTCTCTGGCACACGGTCTTTTGATATCGAGACTTCCTCATCATCGACATCCTTCACGGCTTCGTTCCTCGCAGGCTTATCGACAGCATCCTCGCTAGGCTCCCCTGGTAGCTCAGGCACTGCCTTCCCGGAAACTTCATGTTCGGCTTCAACCACGTCAGCATCTGGCTCATCGACCTTCGGCAAGGGCATGTCATCAACAGGCTCTGCGTCGACTGGGAGCGCCGCCGCCACCTTACCAGTCTGTTCGTTAGAAACTTCCGGCTCACCCACGAACATCTTTGAATCAAACGAAGTTGTGGGAACATCCTCAGAGACCTCAATTTCTTTCGCTGGAGTGACTTCTGTCTTGTCCTTCGGGCGGCTCTCGGAGACCGGTTTGAGTCCATCGCTGACAGAAGTCCAGCCGAGAAACGGACCTTCTTCGTCATCCGAGGAGATGGACGGATCGGCGCCCACGCCGCTAGGGCCGGCGATGGCTAGTGGCTCGTTGGAAGGCGCCCCTCGGAAGGACACGGGTGGAGTTGACGGTCCAGCAGACAGTTCGAACTGCGGTGACTGACGTTCGGCCTCCTTACACTGTGTGGGAGCCGCCAGCTGGTTGAGGTCGAATGAAAAAGACACACGACCGTCTGGTTCGACTGACACCGTCTCCAAACGACCTCCTCGAGCTCCGCCAACCGTTGACGAGGACGAGGCCGTCGCTGTGTCCGGCGGCTGGCAGGCAGCGACACGACGACGGGAGCGGCGCGGCGCGCGCTGCCGACGACTCCTCTCAGCAGAGAACTCATCACCACCCGAGTACCCATCACTGCGCGTCGGTGAGTCCTCCTCTGCACCGGCATCGACGGCGACAGGGGCGGCGGAGGGGACCGACGAAACGCAGCCCGAGTCGTCGTTATCATTGGTATCCCGGAACGGCATCGACGGGAAGCTGCAGGCGTTATCATCGGCGTCCGGCGGAGGGACACCGATCAGCGGCGGGCTGCGGGAGTCGGCTGACGCCGCGGGGCTGCTGACGTCGGAGCCAGACCGCAGCGGCGGGCTGGGCGAGACGGGGACTTCCACCGCTAGCGGCGAGATGCGCGACACGGCGCCGTCCGTTCCCGCCACCGGCGGCTCTACTGGAACAGGACTGGGCGGCTGTGGCTGACTGCGTGTCGAGCGGCGAGTTTCTTTCACCTCGGACGTCTGAGGCTTGCTTTCTCGAGTTTTTGGTGATGGCTGGGCGTGGGCACCCTTTGAGCGAGATCGGGTGGATCGTGGTGGGGTTTTCCTCTCCTGAGTGGACCCTACAACAGGTAATTCGGGAGAGCTCTTGTCAGAGGCAGCGGGAGGGAAAGACTGTGGGTCTGGAGATGAATTAGAAGCGACATTCTTACGGGTAGAAGGAGTATCAGTAACCTTTTGATCCTTGTCGGAGCTCTTCGCCGTGTCACTGCTTTTAACACTAACCAATTTCGTATCTTGTTCCTTGCATTTGTCCTCAGCATTCGAGCTGCGTTTCGCAACTCTTGGATTTCCTCGGCTAGTCCGTCTGGTAACTCTGGGCTTCAAAGCACTTCCCTCGCCCTGCTCAGTCTTGGTATCCCTCCTCGTCTTCTTCGGAGTTGGCAGCCTCTCTTTTGCCTTCTCATCGACATACTTCTTCTCAGCGCTACGGCTCGCGTCTGATGGACTTTTCATCTTCACAATACCGTCTCCGCTGGAGAATGACAGTCCAGCTGTCGCTACGAGCGCTTCCACTCGATCCAGAAACCGACTCAACATCGGAGACACTTCGCTAACGGTGCAGCTGGCCTCAAACCCGGTGAAAGGGCCATCTGCGTCGCATGAGTCCTCCGTAGGTGGCGGAGCGGCGGCGGCCCGGGTGGCACGGCCGGTCGCCCTCCGCCTTCCTGCGCCACGTCTCTGATTCGAGCCGGAAGCGGCGGCCAGGACACAACGTCGAGAGCTCGAGCGCCGAGCTGGCGGGGTCACGACTTTGGGTTTGGCAGAAGCAGCGACGCTTACGCCGTCGCCCGCGGGGCCTGAGGGAGGAGATGACCCAGTGGGCTGATTCTCACTGGACTTTACTTGAGCGGTGCTGGTGGCCATCTTTTCAGTATCGTGTTTGGAGTCGCATTTGGCAGTTGCTGCCTGCACAGTCGAACCCTTGAGGTCGTCAGATATTTTCCCACCATCCCTGTTCTGGGTGGAATCCGCAGAGCCACCATCTTTGACACCGACGGAAGATGTTCCCGGTTCATTTCTAGACGGTTCCTCTGAGAAAGTAACTCGTTGTGGAGCATCTTTTCGGGGCTCTTTCTCGTCGCGACCAGACTGATCTTGGCGAGATGCTGAAGGTTCTTTACCACGGTCATCATCTTTGCGTGACTCTTCTTTTCGCCTGTCTCCTGAATGATCTTTAGAAGAATGCCGCCGGTCTGAGCTACTTTTAGATAAATCTCGTCGGTCATGTCTTTCAGAACTGCCCTTGGAAGAGTGTCGTCGGTGGTCGTGTCTCGATCGATCCCTGGATGAATCTCGCCGATCTTTCCTATCAGAGCTGCTCTTCGATGAATCCCTTCGCTCATCTCGCCGAGACCCGTGTCTGTCTCTGTGCCCGGAACTGTGCCTAGACGAGCTATGGTGGTGATCTCTGTGCCTCGAACGATCTTTTGACGAGCCATGCCTGTCCTTGTGCCTTGATCTTTCCTTGGAAGATTCACGTCGGTCCTTATGTCTGGATCTATCTCTGGATGAATCACGATGCCTGTGTCGGGAGCTATCCTTGGATGACTCGTGGCGGTCCTTGTGCTTTGAGCTATCTCGTGACGATTCTTTGCGGTCTTTAGATCTCGAACTTTCTTCCCGGTCTCTATGCCTTGAACTATCCTTTGAAGAATCTCCTCTATCTTTGTGCCTCGAGCTATCTTTGGACGACTCCTTGGGCACTGCGTTTTCCGATCCAGCTTTGGGTGATTCTCCGCGACTGGTATGCTTTGAGGCAACTTCAGATGATTCAGTCCTTTTCTTGTGCCCCTCACTGTCATTGGATGGTTCTTCTCGTTTTGAAGTTTCCTTGGACGACTTTTCACGATCTTCATGTTTTGAGCTACTGGACAATTCTTTGTGATCTCTGTGTCCCGAGCTGTCCTTGGAGGTTTCCTTACGACCGGTATGACTAGAGGCATCTTTTGGCGTATCTGAGCTATGTCGCGACTGATCTCGCGATGACCTGCGGTCTTCGTGACTTGACCTTGCTTTAGACTGTGACGAATCTCTACGCTTCGATTCCTCCTTAGAAGCATTACGATCTTCTTCTCGCCTGGGCTTATCACTGGAAACTTTGTGCGACTCCTTTGGACATGATTGCCCTGTTGATTTCGCCATCCGTTCATCCGGCTTAGAGGTACGCTCTGACGATTTGCTGTCCTGAGAAGAACGGGCCTCATTTCCGCTATCACTGGCTACAGTTTTCTTTTGTTTTTCACTGGAAGTACCTTCTTTGGGCATAGGCAACTTTCCAACTTTAGAATCGACTTCTGAATCCTTGGTGGGCTTATTTTGAGCATTCTCAATAGACTTCAGTCGAATGGAACCCTCCTTGGGCCCACCATTGGATTTTTCATCGATGACATTTAATTTCGAAGCATCACTGACTCCGTGGCCACTCTTGCTGGTTTCGCGCGATTTTCTTCGTGCTTCTTTTTTAGAGCCTTCCTCTAACTGTACGCTGCTTTTCGTCCCACATCCATTCGTCGATTTCTGAGTAGACTTCGGCGATCGATCTTGATCTGATTGTTCGTGGCACTTGGCTGTTCCTTCTTTGGCCCCCTTTCCCACACCATCGCCACTTCCTCCATCCTGTCCAGGATTGCTATCGCCAGCACAGGACACTTGTACAGCCTCACTGCTTTTGCTGGTTTGGCGAGTGGCATTAGGCTGGGTTTTAGAACTATCCGTCTCGGTAACGCGATGTTGTCTCACATCAGGCAGGCTGCTAGTCTGCACGTCTACCTGCGAGTTCTTCTGACTACCATCACCAGCCATTCGCATTAGCACTACTGTGGGGCTTTTGTCAGGATCAGGAGTAGTGACAGACTTCTGCGTCTCTTTAGCACCGTCCCCAGAGCCACCATTGGAAGAGACATCGTCAGGCAGGCTGAGTCGAGCGCTGCGGCGGGCACGGGGTCCGGGCGAGTCCACCTTCGGACCGCGCTTGGGAGTCGCGGCTGGCGAGGGAGGCGGCTGCACTGGGGACTCGGAGACGGCTGCTGGCGGCGGCGGCGACTTCAGGTCCCTGGCGGCGGCGGCTGCCGCGGCGGGTGCGGTGGAGGCGTCGGCTCCTCCTGCCGCCGCCACTCGCTGGCTGGCCCGACGGGGTCGGCTTGGCGTCGTCTCCGAGGTCGTGGCATCGGCCGCAGTTGCCTGCTCCCGCTTCCTTACCATTACTTCTTATTGGCTGAAAAAGAGATCAGTGTCAATGTGAATGGTGTGCTTGGATAAAATAACAAGCTTGGACCGACATGTCTACATTTTAAAATAACATCTAAAACAACACATGAGAACAAAATCATATTGCATTTTTTGACATAGTGTAGCCCTGAACCTAAAAAAAAGCAAAGGCAGATGTAGGTTACACATGTTTTATTCATGCCTCTGCAGGGCCCCAAAATTAAGTTTCGTCTTGGGTGTCAAAGGGAAAATTACCCTCCAAAAAGAGGGGGAGAGTGGAAAACTGTTGATTCGATTAGATTAAAAAAGAGTGAGAAACGACAAAAAGCATGCATTTTATTCTAGGATTTAGAATGGTTGATGCTAAACCGGGCAACCACACCACTGCTCTTACTTATAGGTAAAAAATCTAGGTTTCCTTGGTTAGGACTTGAGAGTGGAATTTTTTTTTCCTAAAAATTGGTGGTGAGAGTGGAAAATGAATTTCATTTGGATGTCGTTTCCCACCCAACTCGACAAATTTTGGGACATTGTGCCTCTGAATAATCTGTGGCCTGTGCCATTGATAGAGGTTAAGTACCTATGCCTACCATTAATTAAGTATTACGAGCTAACTATCACGTTATTGTAAGCTCCGAGAATAGGCAGCCAGAATAATTGATTCAGACTTTGGACGCCCCTAGACTGTAGGTTGAATAATATTAATAAACATGTAAATCCCAAGCACTTCATTTCATTTGTAGGCTGCATCTACATTTCATTGTATCAGCAACTTCCATTTCCAAAATTTGTCAATGAAATATGGTCCTGACGAGAAGATCGGGTCATCTGTCTATCATAGACCTCCTAGATAACACTTGCCACTATTTAACTAGGCAAAAAATTATAGGCGGCGGAACGGGGAGGGCACCGGGCACCGTCCCCCCCTTCGATTTTGGCATTTTTACAATAGCCCTATTCCGCCGCTACTGTGAAAAATCACAGCACATGTCTAAATGGCAGGATAAAAATATACCCACATCATTCCACAGCAAGAAAAGAATTAAGATAGATGCTTCTGTGTTGAAATGCGTAAAGATGTGTCTAGTTGAAGTTGCGATCACACTGAAAAGTGAATAATGAATTTTTAGGATAAAACGCACATTATTCGCGCAGTTAACCCGCGCCCAACTGGGGTCTGTGTATAACACGCCCCACTGGGGGGGGGGGTGGGGGGGTGGAAGCTATTCATAGCCCCCTCCTAACTCCGAATTCCGAAACTACTGGGCCGATCGTCAAAATTCAAACGGCATCTGATAGCCCCGGGAAAACTGTCGAACGAAACCTCATTTCATTGACCTCGAGGTCACCGATGACGTCACAGGTCATCTCAAAGTAAAAATTATCGATATTTGGCTTGTTCACTTTTTGGGCTCTGGCTACTGTCTTACAAGTCAGATCAGGCTGATTTTTTGTTTACACACTCGTGAACAGATGCTTTAGACACCCTGAGGGTACGAAACTTGTACTTTGATTTTCAGGTCAGGGTCAGCTGTCAGGTCAGCATAGGTCACGGAAATCTTATGTCATAAGTCGGTCACGTGACACATGTCTTATGTTTCATTTAGGCCAACGATTTCGAATTAGGTGTCGCCTGTGTCATTTGAGGCCATTTTCATCTGAATATAGCTGAGGTCAGGTCACGTTCAGGTAAAAAAGGTCAACTTTCAAAGATGAAATTTTTCAGCAAACAAAAACACGTCTATCGGATGCAGTTTGAGCTCAGGAACACGATGGTGCTATTTATTTTTGTGTACGATGTCAAATTCGTACAGAAAAAAATGATTTAAAAAATTAAAATTGTGAAAGTTTTGTTATACTGCGTATAACTTGGTCATTTTTTATGATATCTGGCTAAAACTTGCTAGAGTAAGTCATAAGCATGTGTTCTATCATATATATTCTGGTTTTTCGAAAGTGCAAAAATTTTTGAAAACAAGATAAAAATACAAATTTTGAATTTTAATATACAATATAATTTTCGAAATTTTCAAAATTTTGAAAATTCGAGTGAGCAGTTTGATAGCGCAGTTCATTCTGAGTCGAAATCGAAATCGGCCCGAAAGTCGAAATCGGCCCCGAACATGACGTCACTCTGACGTCATTTCCGGCCGACCTATGATAGATACGAAGTTCAAATTTTGACACAAGGTGTCAAATTGATGCAGCCGAAGGTACTGAAAGTTTGGCGGCGATACGTCAAGGGGTTTAGAAGTTATTGCAGAAAAACAGAAGGGAGGCTATGAATAGCCCCCCCCCCCCCCCCAGTGGGGCTCGGGTTAAAAAGTAACTAAGAAAACATTTAAGATAAGAAGTTAAGCGACTTATGTAAGAAAGTTATTATTCATGTAACAAACACATGTATACCAGCGGCCCAGCCCAGCATGCACTGCACATTTACTAACATGAAATAATGAAAACATAGCCTGATCTTTTCCTCAGCATTAGTCAAAGTGATTTCTCTGAAGGTAAATAATAAATATGGCTGTGATGTTATGTGCAGAAAGGCGTAAATTGATATTTCCTCACACAGCAACTGTGCACAAATACCCAATGGTGTCATACTTAACAATGACACTGATCAATCCCCACACACTGCCCCAGATAATCTTACATGAGATTCTTTGAAGGTTACTGTAAGGTCACTGAAGGTCATACACTGTGAAGGTATTTAAGCAGCTTTTCATAAGTAAATAATTGTGGCCTTGTAGAGCACAACTTTCAAATACCATGATGCACTTCAAAGTGCCTTTGGCTCTATTCTCCTTGTCTGGTACACATTTCCAGCCTATTTAGCACAGGTGCCTGTTTGACTGTTGGCACAGGTACATTTATAAGCTACACCAGCCTTTAGCTACCAAAGTCATATTCATAGAGTCAGATAAGAAACACCACCAATAAGCTTTCTTATTTATAAGGGAAAAACAAAGGCATGCTGATGAAATACACTAACTGAACAAAGGCTGTTCGGCTACATAGTCAAAATGAAATATGCTGCAGCACGCATGTGCAGTGAAGGCTAGGTCCCCAGAGGGTTGTTCACGGGCCCTGTGTGCGGTCGGACCGCACACAGCCTCGAAGCTCCGCCCACTTCGTCCCTACGTCAGCCTTCCGTCACCGCACACAGTGATCGCTGTGGCCGGTCGGGACTGGCCACAGCGGACCGTCCACCGCACGCAGCCGTGACGTCAGAACCGCCTACCCATCCCCTACCCCCACGACTGCTGGACGCACCGCACGCAGCAGTGTGCGGTGCCCGTGAACACCCCTCTGGTAAACCCTCCCACACCACTGCGTCATCACCTATGTGATGTCACCTACTGAAGCATACTTCTTTTTCCGGCAGCAGGAAATTTGGTGCTGCACGATACAAAAGTGGTGCGGATTCAAGATTACCGTCCAATATTTCTTCTTGTAAGCGATTTGTATGCTGTATCTAGGTAGGTAGCATTATCACTCTTTTCAGTGGCACTATTAGCCACATTTGAATGCAATTGAACGGCTACTTTAGGGACAATCACCAGTCCAACCACGCAATGGTTCCCTGCGGGTGGCATCAGAATAAGTTGCAGCGACGCTCGACCAATGCGTAGCAACGGAGAGTGGGCGCAGCCAAGCCGCTGATGACACACACAGCAGACCTATGCTGCAGGAACCCAAACAGCCCTCAGCTCTACGTTTTTTAGTGCCAGCCACTGAATGCTCATGAACAGCGTCCATAGTCAATGGACGCTGTTCATATCACTATCTCAATCTGAGTACCTTACCTAATGTATTGGAAAAACAGCAATTCATGCCAGCCTAATAACAACAAGTAGGTACCTACCAAACAAGTATCCAAATGAGGTGGTGACATCCAGAAATAACAAAAAACAAAATAGGCGATTGCCGATTACGAATTTGGAATCATCACAATCAGGAGGATCTGACCTTAAAACCAAGGCTATATCTTAAAACCAACCTGACGCGTGGGAAGAGTAGAATCAATCGTTACGATTCATCTTAAATCCGAAACATCAATCGCTGACTTGAACTGCTAGGAAAAATAATAAGCAATTAATTATAACATCCGAATTCCAAATCTTCAAGCGCGCCTGAAAACACCAAGAAATTTCGGCGCCATGCTGTGGTGAGGGATTTTAGTACAATACCTGCGCATTTGTTTCATTAAAACATTAATTGCTGCAAAATTATAAAAATTACTCTTCCTCGCCGAAGAGAACAAAATATTTGCTCTTTCTTTTTTAATTATTTTCAATGCAATTAACTACTTAAGCAATTTTTTAAAATTTATACACGAAAATATAATATATTTTAATTTATTGCATATAGATTGTATGACATTTTGCACTTTTTTCTTCCGCATTTTACTTCTCACTGAAGCATTTCCTTCAAAGTTGAGGCTGCTAAATAAGCCAAGAAGAAACAAACACGCATGGGCCGCTGCCGAAGCTTCAAAAGCGTGCGTGTGCGTTGGGTGCGTCAACTATCGATGTTCTCTTATTTCATTTAGATATTATGTTAGTTTTATGCATTAATGAGAAATTTTTGATAATTGTTTTCCGTGGATGTTGATGCGAAAGCGCTCCGCTAACTTTGATTGGTCCTGAACTTGAACTAAACTCAAGCCCGGGGTTCCACACTGACTCGCGTTTTTTTCCGTGCGATTTTGCGATTTCTATCGCGTTGTTGCAAATAAGTTCAGAATTCTTAACTTTTTGCAGTAATGCGTCAGCAATATTGCATGATATTTAATAACACTAAGGTGCTTGCCACAGTGTGGCTCAGCGGCCAGCGCATCCACTTGCACTAGATGAACATTTTCTGGCATCGCCAAGAGCATCGCATTCTCGCATAATCGCAAAATTGCACAGAAAATCAGTCAGTGAGCCTAGGTTCAAGAATGCCAAACGATGAGAATTGCTGTTGCTATATTCTTTTTTTCATGATATCTCCCTCTTGCAATTTTGGTAAAAGTATACATTGAGTCCGAGTGACTGTTAAAAGATAAAGTTTTCATATTCTTACATTATTTGACATCCTGAATCCAAAAATGATACTTCTATGTCTTGGAAATAAAAGAAAAACATAATCAAACCTGACCTAACCTTACCTATTTACCTACAACCTAGTCCTACCAACCTACAACCTACAAACCTACAACCTAACCTAACCTAACCTACAAATCTACCAACCTAAAACATAAAACCTACAAACCTACAACCTAACCTAACCTAAAACCTAAATTTTTTGCTGTTACATATTTGTATCAACAGCGTCACAATTGTCCACTCGGACCTAATATATACTAATACTAATCCGTATTTTTTACAAATGAACTTCACAAAATCATTTATCATATGTAAACCTTTAATAAACCTTTTCTGTCTTTTCTGTAATTTTTCTGTCATTCAGCGCTGGTTGACCAATTTCATGAACTGGAATTACTAACATGTGATCAATGAAACCTTTTTACTTTCCAGCTAAGGTTTGAAGTCGAGTTACTCCATCAACACACTCACACACAGATAATATGGCGCAGAGGACGGGATCAGGCTGGCCTCGGACACAGTCAAACATCAAGCCTTTGACAGACTCGTCAAACTCCATCAAAACCATCAATCTGTGAGTGCATATGTGGCATGTGGAAGTGCAAGTGGAGGTTAATTTTGTTTGAAATATTCCTCATATTAATTAGGTGCCCTTTTGAGCTTCTTTGAGTCAAATCATTAACCTAGTCTTTTTCAACAGATCGTACCTATACACTTTGGACGTGCTTTTTTATCAGATTGATTAAAGACTGTTTCGGTGAATTCATTCCTTGTACGTTAATCCTGTTTTGTGTCAATACATTGAGAACAATTAGTAAATACGCCGTTACATCGTCTATACAACATGAAGCATAAGTAAGCTTATTGATAACATGACCTGAGCCCGTTTGAGACGGATCCACTAAGCCATCTTATTGTCGTGATTATATCTATTCATCAGACACCTATATTCTCATCCCCACAGGTACCCGCTGACCAACTACACATTCGGCACCAAAGAGGCGCTGTTCGAGCGCGACTCGTCCGTGGCGGCGCGCTTCCAGCGCATGCGAGAGGAGTATGAGAAGCAGGGCATGCGTCACAGCGTGGACGCCGTGCTGCTGGTGCACGAGCACGGCTTACCACACGTCCTGCTGCTCCAGCTGGGCTCCACATTCTTCAAACTGTGAGTGAGGAGATGGAGAATAAGGAGGATTTCAGAGGGCTGGTGGCTGGCTGGCGTTGTGAGATTGGCATGCATTTGTCGCATGTGATTTTTACGGAGCTGTGATATAATTTTGTTATGCGAGTACATTTCACAAATCAGCGTATCCTGCATAGTGCATGCAGTGGATAGTATAGTTTACTTGTTGGTAACCGGCTTGTGTAATTGATACCTGCAAATATATTTCCATGCATTATATTCAAGTTCCTGATTTCGATGTCTGTCAAAAGTACCGTACCATTACCTTAGCCTGCCGCTCTACCGTATCCTCCAGAGTCCAGACCCCCTCCTCTAACTAACCCTCCTCGTTCTGTTCCACAGACCCGGCGGTGAGCTGAGTCAGGCCCCATTGATTAACTTTTCGCCCGTTCCGTTTTCAGACCCGGCGGTGAGCTGCGACAGGACGAGGACGCCGTGGACGGCCTAAAGCGGCTGCTGACGGAGATCCTGGGACGACAGGACGGCGTGCAGCAGGACTGGGTGATCGAGGACTGCATCGGAACCTGGTGGAGGCCCAACTTCGAGCAGCCCCAGTACCCCTACGTGCCGCCGCACATCACCAAACCCAAGGAGCAGAAGAAACTGTTCCTGGTGCAACTGGGAGAGAAAGGTGCGTAACCGGGCTCGGTATTAATGCTTTCTTTGGTTATCTGAGGTGGTGTGGTCCATGTGTGCTTGTGGTAGCAGCATGTTCAACTACGAGTTCGATAACCGGCAACCGCTGCAGACGTTTGAGGTTGTACCACTGCCCTGCCTTGCAACACATCCTGACTTGGTGTCCTACTTTTCCCCAGCGCTGTTCGCCGTACCCAAGAACTACAAGCTGGTAGCGGCGCCGCTGTTTGAGCTCTATGACAACGCCCAGGGTTACGGGCCTCTCATCTCGTCACTGCCTCAGGCTCTGTGTCGGTAAGTATCGCCGGTTACGTGAGGTAGGGTGACCGGTCCCTCACTGCGTGGCGTAGTCTCCCTACTCCTTATCATAGCTTCGTTGTAGAGTTTTGATTTAGCATCACTCACAAAGGAATTGAATCATTGCTTGTAAGCAATCACTCAGGCGGGACGTTTAAAAGATTTTTCTACCTACGATCGGTTAAATAATTTTATCCCGTTTCGCCGATATGTTTCGGGAGCTTAAAGGTAAAAAAATACATTTTATATAAAAATACGACATAATTCAGACTAGACGAAATGTCTACGAGACGTTTAACAGTTTGTTAAGCGTCTAGACGTTTAACAAATCAGTTAAACGACATCCAATAATTGTCTCTCTTTGCACGTGAAGCCATTGTAAACACTGTACGGTGCGGATAAGAGCTTTTAGTAGATCCTGATTGCACTGCTTTTTCGCTTCTTCACTCTGCTTTCCTCTCCCTCGGACGCCTGGGCCGATCATGATGAGTCCTGCTGTGTCAGGACTCAGGAGTGTTTGACAGCTGTCACGTGCCCCGTGTCGGCCCACCACCCCTGGGGTATGGCGATGTCGGACTGTCAACCTAACGTCAACTATGGCGAATTGTGTCAGTTGGGGCCAGGTGCTGCTCTTTTCAGGGGTTTTGTCGTATTTATCCTACTGGGTGCACCGTTTTGTACATCGTAATTGTTTTCTTCTAATGCCACGTTATATTCTGCAGTCAACTTGGTTTGCGCTTGTATTCGTTGTTCACCCAATATTTTCTATGCAGAAGTGTCGCTGCCAATCGTGTTTATCTCATGTTGTTCATCTACAATGTGACAAGACCTATTGCACGTGTTGATGCCGGCTACCGCTATGTGTTCCTTAGTTTCCTTTCCTCACAATTTACTTGTTTGTACAGTCAATGCTTGAATCAATAAACAAAGTTTATGTTAGTAAGCCACTCATGTCGCTGTATGTGCGAATTCATTTCGTGTTGTTGAGGATTTGTCTCTAGTAAAGTAACATATTTATATTGCAAATATTGTGTTTCTTATTACTAACACTTCTTGCTTTAATTTGGGAGTGGTATCGCCATTCCTGTAATTAAGCGTGTCGTCATGCCATGATGCCACCTGCATCATCGCCGTCCTTTGTCAAATTTTATAATTTAGGTGTATGCAAGTTTGTTGTTCTCAGGTGCTCGCTTTCATTGGGAACTGATCACCGATGCGCAGTTCCGCATGTGCTCATTGCCTGCTCGTTTTGGGTCTGGATCTTTTCGAACGGTTGTCATTGGTTACATATGCAGTGCTGTTCTGTGCAAAATTAAAGCCCAACTCGCTGCCTGCATGCTCGCATTTTTTATCGTTATGATTATTTTTTGAAAGTGTGTGTTTCGTCGTGCTCCCTTGTATGTGGTACGTTTTCAGCAGTGGTGAGTCCAGTCTGTACAGCGGCAGAAGACTGTAAACAACCCGTTCGCGGTGTGTCTGGTTTCAGGTTCAACTTCGTGTACCAGTAGTACCCCGGGCAGCAGAACGCTACTCCATCGTCTCAGCTAGTGACTCTTCGGTACCAGGGTACCTCTGTACCGCTGTACCACGGAGGTACACTGTACCACAGCCTGCTCGTGACCACACCGCTAGAAGTTCAAACCCGGTCTTGCAGCGCTTTTCCTCTCGCCGTGCTGCGAAGATTATTGGTGTGACATAGGACACAGCTGTGGCGCCTCTGGCATTGTCGATTCCGCTCACAAAGTGCTTGGGTCGAGATTGTGCACTATCGGATCATATTCATTGTCATGTTTGTGACAGTCTTCTGGCATTTATGTAGAAAATAAACCGAGACCAAATCATCAGCTTCTGTTTTGGGGCGAAGGATGCCGATGGGCGGAGTGATTAGACGGCAGGCTGGGGTAGTTCGTTTGATCTATTCGGTTGTGGAGCTGAGGCGACATCTGAAACGAGTGGGGCTTAAAACTCTAGGGAAATAAAAACACCGTAAGTTACTTATGACGATAAATGCGACGGAGAGGCCGGTAAAGAGAGTCTGTTATTAAATCAATTAGGTATATTGTTCGATCTTGTGGGGCAGTTGATACTACTGTTTTCGGTTGAGAGATTATCCATCAGCTTCATATATGCTTTACATACGGATAGACGGACTTTAGACCAACGATTGTTCACGAATCACTTGCCACAAGTGCCTGCTAGTTCTATTTGAAAGTTTAGTAGAAAAGGAGTAATCAATCGTTCGTTTTGCACAGCTGCTAAACTCGATATGCACCATGTCAGAACTAGAAAGTTACATGCCTATCATCACATTATCTCTACAATAATCACTGGCCTTTCTCATTCTCTCGGCCTTTTTTCCTTATCGCCCGACTGACCAGCCCTTCCCTCACCGCCCCCCCCCCTCCATCCCACATCCCTGGCTCTGCACGATCCCGCCGCGGTCTCGGCGTGCCCGTCTCTAAATTCTGCCGGTGGCCACGGCCAGGCAGCACGGCGCCGTGCGCTCCGGGCGTGCCGGCCGTGCTCTCGGCGTGCTCCGGCCGTGCGATCGACCCAGTTCGGAGCGAGTAAGCGACTAGAAACTGACCGCAGATGATCGCTCTGATCAGAAGGGGTGGGAGAAAACGGCAGTAAATTCCGCCTGAGCGCCAAAACATTTATGTGGGCATTGTTAGAACGTATAGGTAATGATAATCGCAGAGATAGATGACGATTGTCGATGCATCAGGCGAAGACCCAATGTCCAGTTTCATCTACGATTACCTTCAATTCAGCCAATTCATATCAAAACGTCTCGCTTTGTCGATAATGATGAAGTTAATATCGTGCTGGGTCTTTGATGCGTTTGCATGATAAGCTACACTCCTCGCGATATTCCATTACCTATCACAACGCTGCAGCGCCTCAAAGCAGGTGATAACATCAACCTACCCTTCCCCCACGCACACGCACAGACACACACAGACCACTCACCACAGTGACACACACGACGTAATTAGAGCAACTACTGGTGCTCTCCCAGAACGCCCGAGACGCCGTCCGAGGCACCATCAAGGTGGCAGGAAAGACGGTGCAGGCGAAAGACACCCTAGTCCTCCTCGGCATAGAGCTCGACCGCCGCCTCCAGTTCGGTGCCCACTGTCGTCGTCTCCGGAAACGAGTTCGCCCCCGGCTGGCTCACCTGCGCCGCCTCGGCGGACGCAGCTGGGGCCTGGACGAGGATGCCCTGAGGCAGACTTGTGACAGCTCAAGAAAAAAGTGAGCTCGCTCAGCTCAACTCCGTCTTATCCGCTCCCGCTCAGCTCCCGCTCAGTTTAACGCGGCTCAGCTCAGCTCACGTTCCGCTCAAACCGGCTGCGCTCCGCTCACGCTCAGCTCAGCTCAGCTCAGTTTCCGCTCAGCTCAGCTCAGCTCAGTTTCCGCTCAGCTCAGCTCAGCTCAGTTTCCGCTCAGCTCAGCTCAGCTCAGTTTCCGCTCAGCTCAGCTCAGCTCAGTTTCCGCTCAGCTCAGCTCAGCTCAGTTTCCGCTCAGCTCAGCTCAGTTTCCGCTCAGCTCAGCTCAGTTTCCGCTCAGCTCAGTTTCCGCTCAGCTCAGCTCTGTTTCCGCTCAATTCAGCTCAGCTCAATTTCCGCTCAGTTAAATTCAATGCCACCCATTGCCGAATGCCGAATGCCACCCATATCTCCGTAACGTGTCGGGGTCCGGCCAATGACGTCACGGCAATGCGTGTGATGATTGGTCATGGACATCAAATCATCGGGACACAGGTCGGGACATCACGCCGCAGTGGATAAGGATACCTACCAACCGAACGGCTTACAATGGTGCGAACGGGGTGCAATAGAGGAATGTAGCGATTTCCCGACCGATCGCTTCAGTTTGCGGTGTCGAACTACATGGCCTTTCACCTAGTGACGTCTTTGGTTTGTATATAATATTATTTCCAGTTTATCATGTTTCTAGTGTTTATAGTGTATCAATATTCAATGCACATTGCATTCGGTTTTATATTTTTATCCGTTCTCATCATATTCCAGTGTACTTACCTACTAGAACTGGATCTCAGCTCAGCTCAGCTAAATCAGCTCAGCTCAATCAGCTCAGCTCAGCTCAGCTCAGCTCAGCTCGCTCAGCTCAGCTCAGCTCAGCTCGCTCAGCTCAGCTCAGCTCGCTCAGCTCAGCTCAGCTCAATCAGCTCAGCTCAGCTCAGCTCAGCTCAGCTCAATCAGCTCAGCTCAGCTCAATCAGCTCAGCTCAGCTCAGCTCAATCAGCTCAGCTCAGCTCAGCTCAAGCTCATTCAGCTCAGCTCAGACAGCAGCTCAGCTCAATGCATTACTGAGCCGGCTCAGCTCACAGCTCAACAATTTGGCAAAATGTTGAGCCGGCTCATGAGCTGAGCTGATTTTTGAGCCGGCTCAACTGAGCTGATCACAAGTCTGCCCTGAGGACGGTGGCCAACGGCTACGTCCGCGGGGCGCTCGAGCACGCCGCCGCCGCGTGGCTGCCGGCGGCCGCCCCCTCGCACGTGGAGCTCCTGGAGCGGGAACTGCGGGGGGCGGCCCGCATCATCACCGGGTGCCCACGATCAACACCGACCCACGCGCTGATGGCGGAGGCTCGACTAGCCCCGATGGAGGAGAGGGGATGGACGTTGGCCGCCAGGCTGCTGGGAAGGGCGCTGGCCCTGCCGCCGGGGGACCCCCTGCGCGCGACCGCCGAGGCCTCGGCACCGGCGCGCCTGGCCTCAGTTCGGGGGTGGAGAGAGCGGGGCCGCCTGGCCTGGGAGAAGGCCGGAGTCGCGCTGCCGGTGGAGCCGGTGCTCCCCCCTCGGATACCGCCGTGGCGGCAGACATCAGGCGTCACCTTCCGGATGGACGTGGGCCCCCTCCGGGCCGGCGCCGCGGCGGCGGAAAGAGAGCGCGCGGCCGCCCTGCACCTCGCGTCCCTGCCGCAGTGCGCCGTCTGGCTGTGGACGGACGGGTCCGCGGCGGGCGGAGTCTCGAGGGGCGGAGCTGGGGCCGTGCTGGTCTGGCCGGATGAAGAGACCGAGGAGTTGCGGGTCCCGGCCGGACAGCTATGTTCCAGTTACCGCGCAGAGATGGTGGCGCTGGTGACCGGCCTGGAGACCCTAACCCAAAGAGACAGAGACCAGGACCTGCCTATCGTGGTCTGCACGGATAGCCTCTCAGCAGTGGCGACCCTGCGCAACGGCCCGGCCGCCCAGACCTCCCCGCTGGGGGTAGCGGCTTGGAGAGCCATGTTCGCCCTCTCGGATAATGGCCGGAAGATCCACGTCCAGTGGGTCCCCTCGCACTGTGGTGTGGAGGGTAATGAGCGAGCCGACAGAGTGGCCCGAGAGGCCGCGGAACTACCACAAGACAGCGTGCCTGCAGACATCAGGACAATCACCCGAGCGGTGGCTAGGGCCGCCCGCGACGACACGGTCCGGGCCTGGCCCCCCGGCTGGTTCCGGTCGCTGATGGGGGGCCGATTCCCCCCACCGGTGGCGGGGCTGGACCGGGAGCGCGCGGTGGACGTCCACCAGCTGCGAGCCGGGCACTGGTCGGGCTCCAGGGCCTACCTGCACAGGATCGGGGCCGTTCCCTCTGTGGGATGTGAGGGCTGCCGCGACGAGGGCTGTGTGGCGGCCCGCTGCCCCCTGTGCAATGAGGAGCCTGACACGCCGGCACACGTGCTGCTGAGATGTCCGGCGCTGATGCGACTGAGACATTCAACCCTGGGTCACATCCATCCCAGGCTGGAGGAGGTCCGGGAGACCTCAGTGGTGGCGGCCCTGGCGGCCGCCGCCAGACGCTTCCAGAGCCACCTGGCTATGCTCCCGTGAGGAGCAGAGGGAGAAACAACAACAACAACAACAACAACGTAATTAGATACACTCAGTGACGTCACGCAATCGTCGGCCGTCGGTCGGCTCAGCTGTTGTGCGTCGGCTCCGACGGGCCCCTCTCCGACCCTCAGTTCTCGTTCCCTGGTGGTGCCGAGTGGTCATCGCCTTAGACCGGTTCAAACACAATAGGGGAGCATAATGGCGGTAAGCTAGTTAACTGACGATTTCTTATGGGCGGCTGGTAAACATATATCTTACGTGACTCGACGCTTTTCGGCTTTGCAATTACTGCACGTCTATGACATTCTTTTGCAGCCGTACAACATCGCGGGCTTGTTTTATTATCCAAACCAAATCGATATCAGTCGGCTCTTTCCTCGTCTACACAAATCCCGATTCTCCCAGTTCCAATTTCCGTTATATGAACCCACAGCCCTGGATCACATCCCGTCGGTTGTCCAAATTACCGATTACCGGGCCCCTGGACAAAGGCCTTTGGTCGGTCGGCCGGACGGACGTCACGTCACGCTCCTACCCGGCGGTGACGGTAGCGGACCGACCGTCACGCACTGGCGAACACCGACCGAGCCCGGGTCAGAGGTCAGGAACGGGTCAGAGGTCACCCCGCGGCGCCGGCTAACGGCCGCCCGGCGCACCCCTGCCCTGCCTCAGCTGATGTCGCGTCTTAGTCGCGTCGTTACTTGTTCGTCGCTGGGTGAGGCTGTTTCGGTTGATGCTGTGCTTAGAGACCCAATGATATCTGCGATCCAGGCGCATAGCCTTTCTGGATTTGGGGAGGTCGATTTGCCTGGCGAATGGTAGGGTAGAACCGTTTAGGTCGCCTAAGCAATATTATCCTGTCACCGCTAAACTTGCTGCTTGGAATTATAGCTAGCACTTGATGGTTGCGAGCCTTTTGCCCGCGTCGTGAGCAGGCTGATTTATGTCACCGATAAGCCAGGTGTCGATCACGCACTCAACCTCCCTATAGTCCCTACCCTACCGAATAGCCCATCCGTCTGCCAGTATGCTGACGGAAGCGACGGCCCGGGCAGTGACCGGGGAGGCAGCGGTGGACCTTTTTGTGCCCTGACCCGGCGACCCGACCCGACCGGCCACCCACGCCCCCCGGGTCAGCCGGCAGACCACACAGTCGAGCTCTCTTCATTCTGTGAACGCTGATCACGAGCTCACACACGCACGATGTGTGGCGCTGCCAGTTGTGGTGATCTGGCGCGGTTTTTATGGACGGGTTTATGATCTGGTCATTGACTCCTGTACTGGCCGGAAGAATAGCTTCCCGGATTTTTGCCGTTTTTAGGGGTGTAATAAAAGATCCGTCGGCTTTCAGGATATGATAGGGAAGGGCGGTGACATGATGAACAAATAAACGGTGTCGCTCGATTGTTCGCTTCATTTTGGTACTCCCGCTCGCTTTTATTTGTTTCAACCATGCTCACCAAGTGCGGATTTTATCGGTCGATAAAAATCGGAGAAACTTGGGTGTTAAAAATGTCATATTTCACGTAAATCAAATTTATTCGTGCAAAAAAATGTAGGCATTTATGCCAGTTTGCTAGTCGCAACGTCAAAAATGGCCATTTCATCTTCTGTTGCATTTATATGTATAGAGCGCATGCCGGCCAATGTTCAGTTTTTGTCACTCGTGCAATTGCATTTCAGGAGGAAATTGGCAAAGAGCAGCTGGAGAGTAAGTTCCTAACCGCTTGTGTTCCATACAAGCGTTAGTTAGAGACCATACCATTAGAGAGTGGTAGGTAGTTAGTATGCTGTTTACTCCTTACAGTTAGTAGCTGCTGCATACCATATACATAGGCAGCAGTGGTCTGCTCTTTGGATGCTTTTATTGTAAACCGAGCGATGTGCGGGTAAGAATTGGGCAGCTCAAATAGGCTCAAACCCGTAGTCATTTAAACGGTCGAGATGGTGTCTGATAAAAATGGCGAAAAAATGGAGCTCGTTGATTCCGACTGATACGAGGGATTCAGGGAGGAATATGTAGGTGCTGTCGAGGGCTCTGATAAATTTGATGGCCCTATACTACAACTTAATAGAGCCAGGTTCCGTCAATTAACTAGTGGTCTGTAAGTTGCAGGCACGCATATTATCCAAGCATGATCTATCCGCTGGCGCTTGTTCCGTATTCGCTGTTTGTTATTTACCCTCTCCTTCAATGAACTGTCACAGTGGTCGCTTATGAAGTTCATTGTTGTAGTCTAAGCTATATATTTGCAGCTGTTTTGTATGGTTATATCTAGTCGTCATAAATGTGCGAAATTATTTCGTTTTATTTAGGCATATTTCATTCTGTGAACGCTGATCACGAGCTCACACACGCACGATGTGTGGCGCTGCCAGTTGTGGTGATCTGGCGCGGTTTTTATGGACGGGTTTATGATCTGGTCATTGACTCCTGTACTGGCCGGAAGAATAGCTTCCCGGATTTTTGCCGTTTTTAGGGGTGTAATAAAAGATCCGTCGGCTTTCAGGATATGATAGGGAAGGGCGGTGACATGATGAACAAATAAACGGTGTCGCTCGATTGTTCGCTTCATTTTGGTACTCCCGCTCGCTTTTATTTGTTTCAACCATGCTCACCAAGTGCGGATTTTATCGGTCGATAAAAATCGGAGAAACTTGGGTGTTAAAAATGTCATATTTCACGTAAATCAAATTTATTCGTGCAAAAAAATGTAGGCATTTATGCCAGTTTGCTAGTCGCAACGTCAAAAATGGCCATTTCATCTTCTGTTGCATTTATATGTATAGAGCGCATGCCGGCCAATGTTCAGTTTTTGTCACTCGTGCAATTGCATTTCAGGAGGAAATTGGCAAAGAGCAGCTGGAGAGTAAGTTCCTAACCGCTTGTGTTCCATACAAGCGTTAGTTAGAGACCATACCATTAGAGAGTGGTAGGTAGTTAGTATGCTGTTTACTCCTTACAGTTAGTAGCTGCTGCATACCATATACATAGGCAGCAGTGGTCTGCTCTTTGGATGCTTTTATTGTAAACCGAGCGATGTGCGGGTAAGAATTGGGCAGCTCAAATAGGCTCAAACCCGTAGTCATTTAAACGGTCGAGATGGTGTCTGATAAAAATGGCGAAAAAATGGAGCTCGTTGATTCCGACTGATACGAGGGATTCAGGGAGGAATATGTAGGTGCTGTCGAGGGCTCTGATAAATTTGATGGCCCTATACTACAACTTAATAGAGCCAGGTTCCGTCAATTAACTAGTGGTCTGTAAGTTGCAGGCACGCATATTATCCAAGCATGATCTATCCGCTGGCGCTTGTTCCGTATTCGCTGTTTGTTATTTACCCTCTCCTTCAATGAACTGTCACAGTGGTCGCTTATGAAGTTCATTGTTGTAGTCTAAGCTATATATTTGCAGCTGTTTTGTATGGTTATATCTAGTCGTCATAAATGTGCGAAATTATTTCGTTTTATTTAGGCATATCTTTTGTGTTACTAGACACAAAAGCTACCTACTTCTCGTGAATGAGGAAGTGTTGCCGATCCACTTCGGTAAATAAATTCATTGGGACATTTCCGAACGACATTTAATTACTTTGTCAGGTCGTCCCATAGGTTGAACGTTAAGGATTCTCACAAACCCGTAGGATTTCCCGAGTTTCATTTTAAGTTTGCCAGTTTTATAAATATCCCCGAGCCCCCGAGTACGTATACCAGTGATTTTTACAACGTTTTATCCCACGTAAAGGACAATCAACATTCACCACTTCTTACAAACTCCCTTTTCGAGCTGACTGCTCACTCTCAGCTCCTCGTCCCAGTGCTCAAGAAGGCCTTCGGCATGTTCGACCAGAAGAAGACGGGCTCGATCGAGGTCAACAAGGTGGCCGCCATCCTCAACACTATGGGCCAGCAGTTCGACGACGACGAGCTGAAAACACTCTGTGACAGCAAGGCCAAAGGTCAGCGGGATTTGTATTTGGCGGTGAGGTGTGCCGATTGTGTTTTTCTTTTCCAAGTCATTCTAGAAATGTATGTACCTAAATATATGATTAATTATAGGCTGGCACTGGCCAGCGGCAGGGCGTGGTACGCGCTGCTGGCAAGAAGGATGTGAATTGATTTAATGTGGTTACTTTTTGCTTTGACCTGCCCTACATGTTCTTCAGAAAACTAACCCCCTTTGGCCTTGAACACTTTCTCAAGGTCATCAACCAGCTATGGGTTGAAGGCCACTTTCCGGACTCCTGGAGAGAAAGTATAATCATCCCCATTCTCAAAAAAGACAAACATAGCACCGATCCAGCTAGTTACAGACCAATTTCATTGTCGAGCTGTGCCTCTAAAATCGTCGAGAGAATGGTCAACAATCGAATCAGAGTGTACCTAGAATCACAACACAAGCTCTCACAACACCAAAACGGATTTCGACCAGCACGCTCCACAGCTGACAACTTGATACACATTATTGACACGATACAACAGGGGTTTTTCCATAATAAAGTTACAGCTGCACTCTTCCTCGATCTGAAAGCAGCCTTCGACAAAGTACATCACAAAGCTATACTTATAAAAACACATAACATGGGAATACGCGGCCGAATGGCCAATTTCATAAGTAATTTTCTTAATAACCGCACTTTCAAGGTCAGAGTAGGCAACACCTACTCAACCCTACATAACCTCGATCACGGCGTCCCTCAGGGAAGTCCTCTCTCCCCGACGCTCTTCCTTATATATATAAATGACATCTTTGACAATATACACAATGTAACACATAACGTACACTATTCCATGTACGCGGACGATTTGGCGGTCTGGACGTCGCACCACAATGTGAATGCGGCATACCAAAAACTTCAAACGGTACTAAACCACGTAAACAAATGGTGTGACAAGTGGGGAATGCAAATTGCTCCCCACAAGTCAGCCTCACTAACCTTTTCCAAACAACGCAGACACCCCACACCTCCACGCCCGCTCCGTTTGGGCCGGGTTGAGATTCCGCAAACAAATACCTTTAAATATCTAGGCATCACACTGGACAGGGGACTCACTTTCACACAACACATAGCAGACATCACAGGAAGGTGCACCCGGCGCCTCAACATCATGAAATGTATCTCTGGTACACACTGGGGCGCCGACAGAAAAACACTGACACTTCTATATACATCTCTGATTCGATCCATCTTGGATTATAATGCCTTTTTACTAACAAATATATCCACTACTCTCAGTAACAAGGTCGAGAGTATCCAGAATTCCGCTCTTCGCATTATTTCTGGCGCACTCCGCACTTCGCCTTCATCGAATCTCCGGGTTGATTCAAACATTCCTCCTCTGGAAAGAAGAAGAGAATACCAGCTTATAAGGTATTACACGAAAGTAATGGCAAGAAAAGATACAATACCATACGCTATACTCAGTAACCTACCAGAAAATAACATAATAACACATAGAGAATACAAGTACCAAACAATAAGAAGACACCTTAAAAACATACTTAGGGACTATAAAATAGAAACTCCAAAGGTTCTTGATAACCCTCCACTGAGCCCGTACTGGACTAGGCACCCCATCCAAACCCTCATCCTCTTCGATGACAACAAAAAAGACATGAACACTGATGAAATGAAACAACTTTTCCTCGAATTCCAAAACGACCATAAAGACCATACTTTTATATACACAGACGGCTCTCGGGCGGACAACAAGACCGGAGCCGCCTTCTATATAAAAGGATTCGCACAATCCACCCGCCTCTCCGATAACCACTCCATCTTTTCGGCCGAACTCTACGCGATCAGTGCAGCGCTTCGACACGTAATCAACAAACCTGATAGACAACTAATGATTTGTACTGATTCCAAGGCAGCAGTGCAATCAATCGCAGCGGCCCATAATGATTCGCACCCAATCACGCGAGACATTAAAAGACAAATTAATCAAATCACCGACCAAAACAGAGAAGTTAAGATAATCTGGATACCCGGTCACGCGAATATTGTGGGGAATGAGCGCGCGGACAAAGCGGCCAAAGCCAGCCTCCGTGATCCCCCCAATAACTCCCTCCCATGCCCGGTATCAGATTATCTTAATGTCATTTACACGTCCTACAAAAAGTATGTCCAGTTTGAATGGGACGTAAATCCACATTACTACTTTCACCCAATCAAACCAATTATCGGACACTGGTCGACTGCTTATCAAAATACCCGGCTTAAAGAAGTAATTATAGCCAGACTTAGAATCGGACATACTAAATTGACACATGAATATATCCTTGATCAAGGCCCCCCTCCAATCTGCCAACGTTGTAACATAAGATACACAATTGAACACTTCTTGATCCACTGTCCCCAATATCAAGCAGAGAGGCAACCTATAATCCAATATATCACCCACAACCAACTTGCACTTTCAATTCCTACTCTCCTCGGCGATTCTCACCCGGATCTACTCGACTTGCTTTTCACTTTCCTGAAGAATTCCAGGCTAGACCGATCCATATAGCACAGTCTCGCGCTCAGTTCCGTGGTCGGCCAGCCGTCGATAGCGGTTCTGGGCGCGGGACTCAATCTTTTTGATTTCCTGGATACTGGCCATGTCAATTAAGGAGCCCCGAGCTTACGGGCACCAGCCGCCGCCGCGGGGACCATTGGCACGCGGCGGCGGGCTCCTCTGCCCCCCATCTGCTTGGAGAAAGAGGTGTCGGCACTATGCCGTCCGCAACGACCCGTTTAATGAATTGTTACGTCACTGGAGTCCGCACTGAAACGTCAGTTCTGTAATCATACCAATCAGCACTTGGTGGGGGTTTTGTAGGAGCCCCGAGCTTACGGGCACCAGCCGCCGCCGCGGGGACCACTGGCACGCGGCGGTGGGCTCCTCCCCCAACTCCTTGGACACATGATTTTCTCTTGGTTTTTCTTGGTTTCTCTTGGTTTCTCTCGTGATTTCATCGTAATTGTTTTTGTTTCCATTGTTCTTGTTGCGCCGTGATTTCGTCTATGTTTGCGAGCGCGCGCGTTTGCGTCCCTCCGGCGGCGGCGGCGGCAATCGGCACCTGCCCATCCCTCTCGCGGTTCTCGACAGGGATCCCTCTTAAAGGTTGAGGCCCACTCGAGACACATAGCCCCACAAACACACTTACACATTAGCGATATAACGTAACGTAATATCAATGCAAAGGGATTTTTCCTGTGCAATTTGGCAAAAGCGCACAGGTTTTGCCCTCTAAGATAGGCACCAGGTTTTTCTAGTTAGGACTTTCCTGGTGGAACTCGCAACACAACAACAGCACACATTACAACACTACCACATTTCAGCATCAAGATTCAGCAGCAAGAAATGTAAGTACTCAAAATCCCTCTCGGCACTGCCACTCTGGCACCCTTTCTGGCTTTCCCTTGCACTTGCTCCCACCGGACGTCACATGAGCCGGTCTAACGTAAACTTTGCTCTTGATATTGCCTTGGGCCGGAATAACATAGCCGGCATTAAAGTAAAGTAAAACGGAAGATCTGGCTAATTGCCAGCTAGTAACTTCCCCCTACCCCGACCAGGGCCTCGGCCTGTCGGGAGCAAAATTCAAAAAAAAAAATGCTTTGACCTGTCAAGTTAAAACAATTCCCAGAATTACGCAACTTTATGCGTCACTACCCGTGTTCATTGGCCATCACCGCTGTGGTTGGTACGGTGGCACCTAAACCAGAACGTCACCTAATTTTCATTTACGATTCCCGTCACCGTGCTGTGAGTGTCGGTCGATTCGGGTCAGTCGCCTGCGGCTGTCGCGGCTGCCAGGCCCGCCCTCGCTCCACCGCCCCCGGCCGAGCGATGGGCCGCGGACCGTGACCCGACCGACGCCTCGGGGCATTCCGGTCGTGTCATCCGCGCGGTAGTGGGTGTCGTCGATGGGACAGTAGGGGCCTACCGCTGGCAAAATTAGCAGTAATGTCGACGTAAGACTACTGCAGTTTATCATTATTACTGCTTATCGTATTGTGATATAATCAACGGTCAAAGTGATATTTGAATTGTCGTTAATGTAATAAAATAATTTATCAATCGCATGAAAAGAGCTTCCGACATCACTGCTGTTATGTGGTGTTGTTTCGGTTTCGCTGCTCACCTGTGCACCTATGAACTTACGCTGTATTGACAGACGGCAAGTTGGACTTTAACAGCTTCCTGAGCGTGGCGTCAAGCTTCCTGGAAGAAGAAGACGACGAGGCCATGCAGCAAGAGCTCAAGGAAGCGTTCCGGCTTTACGATAAGGAGGGTACGTCTGCAACTTTGTCATGGTCATCTATCAAGCCGCATTATTACTATTGATCGCCGTATTACTGATTCTCAACCTGGACATGGGCAGTAATTCAATTTTCAGCTTCAATTTTTTTTCCGTATTGTTTTTAGTTCAGTTGTCATGCACTGCATCTGTCTCCACAGGGAATGGCTACATCACCACGCAGGTGCTGAAGGAGATCCTGAAGGCGCTGGACGACAAGCTGACCCCGGATGACCTCGACTGCATTGTGGAGGAGGTGGACACAGACGGCTCCGGCACACTCGACTTTGACGGTAGGTGATAAGAGGGGTTCTACCTTAGAATTACATATGTACACCGACTAGATTGTTGTTTTTCGTATTGAAGCTGTTGCATTATCGGAATAAATGATGCTGGCATGCTGCAGCATCCGCCACTACGCCTTCAAGACACTTATTATTCGGTCTTCGTCATGTTCATGAGAGTCTTATCTACATAGTCCGACCGTTGTCTCCCTCGTGATACATGTATAACGGGAACGTCTTTCACTTTCAGAGTTCATGGAGATGATGACGGGCTAGACAAAAAAAAAATATCATCTATTCTGGTGAGTATGTTGCACCGGCAGTCAATTTACATTTTGTTAAATGCCGTCTTACTGCCGATGAAAATACGTCGAGCATTTCCTGGTTCGGGATTATTGAATGTTCATGAGCCCCCGAGCCTTAACTCAGCCCGCTTTGTCCGTGCGACGCTCACAACTTCTGAGAAACACTTGGATGTGGGGTCCATGCTGCATTCTTGGGGTGTACTAAGTTGTTAATTTGTCTTGCAAGAGGTGCTGGGGGTGCGAAATTGGCTATACTGTAGTTGCAGCAGCAAATAAAGGCTTGTTCAGTTCGTTGACCCGGGAAAAATTCAGCATAGCCATGATGTTTCATCATCGTTTGACGTCTCGTGCTACCAATAATGCAGTGCAGCTAAGAGCTTTGTTCTTTTTCAGATGATGCTCGTCTGTGTATTGAGGCCTTGGGCTACTTCCGAGCGCCGTTATTCTAAGGGTCTGACAGAGGTGAAGATTCGTGAATGGGTCGCCGGACCTGCTGACCGCCGATTCTCTACACTGCAGTCTTCTTGGAACAAATATGACGTGTCATACCATATTGATTATGCTTGATTATGCTAGTCATATGCGGAACAAATACATTTATTCAGTAAATTCTACCGGTGTATTTTGGTTTCGGGAGGCCATAACCCACGCACCATAGTAGTCTCAAGGCTGACTGAATGCTGGAGGTCGCCGTCTGTAGCTGTGAGTTCCAACGCATGATCGCTCGCTACATATATTAACAATTTCAATAAAGCATTATCCACCCTATCCAAACAAAGCACGATCTCAACAAATGTTCCGAATATAGCTCACTCACTTCGGGGCTATTTCGCGACATTTCGTTCCCAGGTTTCCTACCTTCTCCCCGCACCGGTCCTTTACCGTTCCTGGACTGTCTTCCGGTGCGGTCGGGAACATTATCCGTACCCGTAACCACCGCCCAATTTCGCATATTTTCCACACCACCGCGCCGCCGCGGTCAGTCCGCAATAGTCGCGAACTTTGGACAGTGTGGACAGCCTCGAGTGGTGGAACGGTGTATCGAGGCTCCGAGCTCCAGCGGCCGGCGGTGGTCAGTCAGTTTCCGGTATTTTCATGGTAGTTGCTTGGTGTAAGAATATCACGTAGGCTTGATAATAGTGTGAGCCGTTCTGACTACGTTCAATTGATGCTAATGGCCAGAATATGCATTTTTACTTTAATTCATTTATATCTTTATTATAGACATTTTTCCAATGTATGTGACCATCATACTCAACTTCCCAAACCTACCACGCTGCATTGGGAGCTCAGATTCCAAACACGGAAGTCACATAATTCACTCGCAACTGGCCACTCCAAAAACGAACCCACACACGGTGGTTTTCCAGCCGTTTGAATCCACCACCTTCCGTTCCCGCAGCTGTTAGCTCAGCTGTCGTTCAGTTCCCGTGTACCATATGGAGTTGGGCGTCCTTCCGGCTATTAGCAACAGCTGGGCGTGTCTGGGACGGAACATCACACCGTCGGACTCTGCCGCGGACGTGGCATTTCCTTGCGGTGCGACGCCGCTCGCCGCCCGCCGCTGGACTGCCGCTGCTCGGTGGTTACCGGGCGGCTCCTCAGCTGACGGCTGACGGCTGACGCGGCCTGGCCTCAGTTGGTCGGCGGCGGTCGCGGGGGAGGGGCGTGCTGCCGCGCTACGACGACCGGGCGGCACGCGTGAGAAGTTGGTGTGCTGTGGAGCGGTTGGCTGGTTAGACGCTGATACAGTGAGGACTATGCTCGGTGCTCTCTGAAAGAACTGTGTTCCTGTAGCATTGGAGGACAGATACAGTGACGCTTAACTCCGCACTTTGAGGGTCTGGAGTGCACGAACCGGCCGTTCTGATCAGCTCTGTTGTGGAGAGTCGTTCTGATCAACTCAAGACCAACGAACACGATGCGTCTGTAAAATTTTGATCGGTGGGCTCGGTTATGTCGCGGTGAGCACGCCCTTCCCACATCGGAAGTGCAGGAAACGTCGTTCGGAAGGTGCTGGTCGTGCGGAAGAAGCACCCTATTGAGCTCAACCGACACCTTCGAGAGGCTCTGGTTTGCTCCTCATGCTCTTTTCAGAACTGGATATGTTCTCAAAGGTTAGTGCTGTTGGCGGAGTAATTTCGAGATAATCGAACAGATAAAGTTTTCTTTTTGCATTGTATTGAATTATCGTTTGTCATTGACATAACCTGGGATTAACCCGCGCACCGAGGGGGGTCTGCGCCAACTTCGCACCGACGGGGGGGGGGGGTGGATGACCGCCCCCCCCCCTGAGATCTCGAGAACGAAGCAAGATAGCGACAAGCGGTAAACGGCAAGGGATACGCACGGACAAGGTCTACAATTTTTACACAGGTCATTTTCAGGTCAGGTCAAAGATGACGTCACAGGGGTAAAAAAAGTCAAAATGGCGGCGCTAGGTATAGGGAAAGTTTTTCTAGAATAACTTTCGAAATAGTCAATATAGGAACAAACTAAGGGCATCATCGTGATCCTCTCGTCAATCCGCATCGAATGATATATATGTTGACCTCGAAAGGTCAAGGTCAAAGGTTGACCTCAGGTCACGTGACCTCGAGGTCATCATGTATATCATTCGATGCGCCTTGACGAGCTGAACACAATGAGACCATCCGCGCGGCTGTATTTTGCTCCTGTACGGAGTTATTGTAAAAAAAACCGCTGGTGACCTTTGATGACGTCGCATGACCTTACAGCTGCCCAACAGCAAAACAGACCTCAAGGTAGTGAATGTTGATCGTATATGAGGTCATGTATGGTTTATGGGGCCATTCCGACCCGTTTTAGTGGTAAAAACAGGGAGTTGATTTTTCCCCCATTGACAATGGGGAGGTCGAGAAATTGACCTGACCTTAGGTCATCGATATCAAAATTCCGAGATATAAAAATTGTAGCTACTAATTACCTTATAACATCCTGCGACTTTCAAAGGCCTCCGACATCTACTGTAGCTCTGGCACGGTGACAAAGTTGCAAAAAAGTAACTTGAGGTTGGGTCATTCAAAGTGACCTGGTGACCTGACCTTAAAAGTTAGGAGGTTCAAACTTGCACACCATGTGTAAAATTGATGAGAAAATAGTCGTACCAAATTTTGCGGCGCTACGCGCCGCGGTTTTCCCGCTATTTGCGAAAAACCTCAGGGGGCGGATATCCGCTCCCCCCCCCGTCGGTGCGCGTGTTTATCACCGTGACATTAACCATGAACATACATTGAAGACGGTAATGACTTTTCTCAATATTCCGTTTTTTTTCTTTTTAGTTTTTTCGATCCATTTGTCTCCATTCAATCATGCAAAGCATGTTGCACTGCTGTCCACAAACTTATGACTTATTAGGCAAAGTGAGCAATACAAAGTGGTATTTATATACACAGTGTGGGCAATACAATTATTCTTAACACCACAGTTGACGACATACTTATTATTCATAAAACGACTGTTGTGCCGGAGTGCTGGAGCATCGAGCTAACTAAATTTCATATTAGCACCCGTCCACAGCTGTTTGTGGCAATTCTTCGAGCAGTACCCCTTGCCCACATCCGCCTGCTTCACTGTCTTCAGCCCGGCGAATCGTGCGAATATCATCACATACTCGGGCCAGCGACCCTGCTAGCAAAAACTTCACTGGAGCAGCGTGTGCAGCTATGAGCGGGATGGCATACTTCGAGACTCGTTATTGGTATGGGGAGGGAGAGGCAGATAACCGTCTATAATAGAATTTCCGCAGGCTGGCTGCATCTATTTAAACGCTGATCTCAGCTGGGACCTGCGGCCACTTACCAAGACTTTCTCGTCTCTCTCTGGCGATTTCATATGAATTTTTCACGCCCCATGAACTGGCGGGCTTCATTTGGACGAGGTGAAACCCGGAAAATTGACGTCTCATTCCAATTATTACGGACACTCCATGGCCTTCTCGCCGTGCTCTGTTGAGTCCGAACGAGCAGTTTGAAATTTGAATCTCATTGAGACGCTGTTCGTTACAGTCAAGCGCCCGGTCACATAGTTTCCACGGCTGGGTGGCCATTTTCAAATGAGTGAAAATTTGATACTGTCTGATGTCCACTGAAACAGGTGTATTGGGTTAATACATGTCTAACTGCGTGTCTTTTCTTCGGAGGGAATGGGAGAAGAAACACATATGAGCAGACTAAGCAGTTCTTATTTGGTTATAGTGCAGTTACCTAAGTGATTAATGTTTAATAAGCCGTCTTCTTAGCTCCGAGTTACTCCAGTCTGCAACCTAGTACTTACATATTACAGCGATCATCAAGATACGGCAGGTGTTGTCATAGTGCCTGTCTTGCATCATTGTTCAAAATTTATTGTTGTGAGGCTTATGGACTATGCGCACTAGTCACTGGCCAGTCACAATCAGCCGAGCCGACCGTCCATTGTAACTTCTCTACACCAAGAACAGAGCGTGCCAACTGCCACCCTCCTGAACATTCATGACCAGCTGGGCGGCACTGACAGCTGGGGGCAGTGGCCCAGCCCTTCACCCCTTGGTCTCCACGGTCACCGGTCACTGGAGGCGAAGGGCGACATCCCTGAGTGCGTCCGGCCAGTGGAACTGCCGAGGGAGACTGCTAGGTGGGGTGGGGTGGTACGTCCGGTGGTCGTCTACCCACTGTAATGAGGCTTTGTCAGCCGTCAGACCCACCTCGCCGCCGCTGCCGCCGCCTCACGGCTGACTCCTGAGGCGTCGACTCACCCCTGACTCCTGAGGCAGGCGCGGCGGCGTGGTAATGGACGCGCGTGCGACAAAAACGACGCAGGGTGTGGGAATGCCACCGGTGGTGGTGCGGTGGCACACGGGAGCAGCCGACGCCGGGTGTCGGGTGGAGCCAGACAGTTATAGCATACGGTGGCCACGTAGGTAACAGCCATGGATAACCTAACGCATACGATTTGTAGTGGTTCTGTCTTGTGCAGTACTGCAGTCTCCGTTGCGGTGATATTGTCCTGTGAAGAATTGCATTCTCCATGACAATATTTCGTGACGCAGGCAAAAAGTAATTGTGCCTATTGTGTGTTGGGTAGCAAATGCATCGTCACATAATTAGATATTTCATCACTCCATGCATAAGTCAGTCACGACATAGTTGTCTCGCTACGTTCCATAACTAATGCCAGGCATTGTTAAACTTCAAAAACGTTCCAATTCCATTATCCATACGGCATCTTGCTAGGGATATTGTGGCATGCTGCATCGCAGTCTCTATGCCGGATACTGCCTTACTAGGCATTGCAGTCTCCATGCTCAATAACTCCTCAACGTCGCTGAAAGCTCGCTGACCGTTCAACCCTACTTCACCATCCCGCTCCACCTTTCCCCTGCATTCCAATTCCTCCGTCTTAGCATCCGTGTCATCTTACCTATCTCTCCATCACGTAACACCTGCACCCCATGGAGACCCACTCAGGCGTGGGGCGGCTGGCCGGGCGGCGCTATGACCACCATCTCACACTGAGATCGTATGGAAGGGACGGCGGCCCGTGCGTCCGTGCGACAGCGCGAGCGACAGCGCCAGCGTCACGGCCCAGAAACGCGCCGACACGCCACCGCACG